GTGGCACTGTGTGCATCTATCCCCGCCCTCTATAACCGCAATCCTACACCGCGTCATTACAGCAAGCCCCTTCTCCTCGCATTTTCTACTTTCAGTATTTCCATGCACTCAGCCCACTAGACTGAGTAGTATTCCAAAGACAGCGTTATCGGCTGTATCTACCGACTTGTCTGACCTCGAATCCTGGGACGACGGCGCTATCGTTTGGTAGGAGCGGGCGGTAGAAGTTGTCGGAGTAGTTCAAGCACGGCTCTTGGAGATATGAAACTGGAATACCACAAAGGATAGCACGTGGAGGGATGGTGAACAGAGAGAGTTCGATGTGAGCGATGGAGGCTGCAGCTAGTGGGCATGGCTTGCAGAAGATGGTGCATGGTTGATGCGGGCGCGACTTCATAACGCACATACTGCCACGGCAAGGATCTCGTCAAGGGTTTGTGCCACGCCTTGGCGAGAGACAACAGTGTTCCATCAACGCAACATCAGCCTCAGGTCTTAGCCACTATCCAATCCGGATATTTTCAACGTACTCCCTTGCATCTTCCCATCACTATCTGTTCGTGCGTACGTGTTACCCTTGGTGGATTCTTTCATAGGTATAGGTAGTGCGGTTGACACTGGACGCTAATTATAGGCGTCTTATCCTTCTAATTCATAGTCTTGCACGGCCGATATTTTACTGTCTGTGTGTCATTAACTCGATTTCCATGTTTCCCTGCACCCACTTGTGGCTGGGCTCGGACGTGTTTGAGGTGATGGCGAAGCTCACCAGCCGAGCTGGCAGGTCGGCGTTGGCTCGAATGCTCTGGCTCAAGGGCGGGTTGTATAGCGGGAAACAGTGTTGGTGATTGGTCAAGAGGTGAGAGCTGTCGAGAGTGAGCAATCCGTGATCGTTATCAGGGAAGGGTGCGCGATGTGAAATTGTTATCCCAAAGGCTTCTTTGACTACCCTAAAATCACTTTGCTGACGTAGGCAAGATCTTTTAATACATGTTGAAATGAGAGCGGAAGGCCATGTCACACCGCAACGAGTGCCTGAGAACTCTTTTATAAGTAGTGAGGAATACCACAAGGTAGATCTTGGATCCAAGGTAACCTAAATTCGATACATAGACATTCACAGCTATAAGACGCTTTAGGTTACTTCTGATTGTTTTGGTCATGTAGGTAAATATTTCCAATAACTATATCGCGTAAGTGAGCCCCTTACTCTGTAAGTTCATGGAGGGCAAGGGGCTCGTTAGTCGTACTTTCTTCTGTCTCTGCCGATTCTTTGTCACTGTGTATACTATTAGCTATCGCCCTGTTGATTATGAGCATGTGTCTGACATTTCATTCGATGATTGCCATTTCGTTGTGTCTTGTTACTCTAACTAATACCTGGATCGCCTTTTCACCAGAGCCTGTGCCACCCGCTACCTCTTCCATAGCCTTGCCAACAACCTTCCGAGCACTTTCTACCTCCTTTGATTTCTCGACAAGCTGCTGTTCGTGTTTAGTCTGACGCAGTTCAGTGTGCAGGCCGGCCGCCTCGGTTGTCGGGTCTCAAGGGCGAGTTTGTTTGCTTGTGGAGTGCGCGGCAGGCATCCCGGTCTTCTCCTCTAAATCTGCCTCCAATGTTTCCAGCTTCCTCTGCTCTTCCAAGAGCTCTTCCTCGGCCTTGATGACCTCTGCGCTGGCATTAATCAGGACCTTCACCGCGTGAACAAGTGGACTATCGTACCTCGTCGATGGACCTATCTGGGTGGAGCCCGATGGCGTTACAATCATTGTGAACCTTCCATGCCCGGTTACTGTCAAGTACGATTGGCAGGAGATGTCGACAAGTTCTTATTAAAGGGTAAACAAGTCGTTCCGGGGAGAATAAGGCTTTGTAATAGTGGTGGACTTAAGCATGGTATGTTTTGTTTAATGGCATGTAGGCGACATAAGTAATCTCGCAGCCTGCAGGTTTGGGTGTAGTTGTTTGCAGTTGCAAGTTTACGCTATAGAGGGAACTTATAGTGCTGTTATAGACGCGTAGTTACTACGTGACTAGTTATTAAGTTTCTAATAGACAGCTGGGACCGGTGTTGAAATTGGTTTAGTTAAGCGCTCTAAACTACTCTACCTTTACGACATTAAGAGTAGCAGCAAGCAACGCATTACTAGCTAGAAAAATATCTACGCTAGTTATACTTGTATTATACGTAATCAGCCTTACCTATCTCTAATTAGTAACTCTTAAACTACTAATAGTACTATAGGCATTTTGGTTATTAAGCCTTGGCATTTCTAGGGCATGTATTAATCTACAAGTCGCGACGTAGCAATTAAGAAGACCGCGACGCTGACAAATAAGTTTTTCTAGCCTATATAGGAGTGAAGACCTTTAAAAGGTCCTCTAGTAGATCTTGGCTAGCTTTTACTAAGACTAGAACTAGATTAATTCTTTGCTTCTAATTTCTTACTTTACAACGCTACCAATGCGGTACACAACTTCAACCCACTCTTAGATGTCCAAAGATACAGTTATTCACCTTGTTAGGAAACTTGTGGCATACTTTCAGCGTTTTAGAAGCAAGGTCCCCATCTTTGATTTTGCAGACTGGCTTATGCAATTCATGTAGTTTGCTGTACAGTTCCTTGGCTGCTTTTCACGATTCAGATATTCTGGCATTTTTGCTGACGAATGTTGAGTTGTAGCCTGTGCGGAGTAGAATAGAGTTCTTCGTCCTTCTTTTTGCACTACATTTGACACGTTTCCCTGGTTCTTTCCGAACGCCTCGTTTCTGCAGTGTCAAAATGGCCTATTTTATAGTATTGGGTCCCTCGATTAATATAATCACGCAGTCGATCGTGAGACTGCTTACTCGTCAGTCTCCCGAGCTCTTGCCTTCTACGATGTTGTATATTGATTTTGTATAAGTAAGTGCTTTCTCATAATCGAATGTGTTTAGTTATTTAATAAAATGACAATTAATGCGTTAAATTGTGATCGTGATACTATTTCAGACGATGAAAGTCAGACCAAATAGAAGTGTAACAATAAAGGTTAGGCTTAGTTCAAGTCTGGATTCGGGCTACATAGATAGCAACACAAGGTACTCAGACCCGCCGCAGCCAGTGACAGCGATGGCAGAATCGACAGAATGCGGAGAAAGGCCACTAAAATCGCAAAAGTAGATACATTATCATCCAAGCTTCGTGCTTTCGAGTTTTCCCGTTTTTGCATGATCAGTTTGCTGAACCAGTGACAAAAGCTTAATGCAAGGCGTTGATACACTACCCCATAAAGAAAAATGCAATGGAACATATCTCGGGTCACATCATCAAGCAAGGTTAATCGAATGTACATTTACTCTAATAAGTATCAGTGTAAGAAACTAGGTGTGTGAAATACCTGTAGTAGGTTCAGTGATAGTGCGATGTTTCACCACTGGATTGGTGTGAACATTTGTTCATTTCAAAACGATGTTCGTCCTCAAGATGCAAAAGTTCAGTATCATACCGAAGAGTCTGGCTCGCGGTGCTTTACTCACTCGGCTGTATAGAGATAGACTTGCGTTAGCAACTCAACTTTCATTGCCATTTCAGCGTTGACATTTGCCGACTTCCTTGGGTTATCGCGCTTGTGTGGTGAAGTCTTGCTTGAGGCTTCGAAACGTTCGTATTCTGGCGTCCTTCCTGGATACATCCTATGATACCCCTGTAGATTTATGGAATGTCGTTCGCGCATTCGTCTTTGAAACGCCTCGTTCAGTTCCATGTGCGCAGCACTGTGTGTAGAAGTTGAGCAGAAGTGGGCGGGGGCCGACTTAGCGTTGCCTGATACTTTTATTGACAGGCTTGCAAGTTTTGCTGCATGGATATCGCTGTCCCGAGAACAAGGCAGCGGCGAGCAAGTGCGGAAGTGATGTTTCTATTCCAGCCGTTATGTTTACGCAGTACTCACAGTGGGGATCCTGCAAAGACACCCATCATAGATACAGACGTGACGACCCACAAGGTTTCATGTTGTTTCATGCTAGGTGATCTCAAAAGAGATGTTGAATAACCCACTCTCATTACAGTGTTCTTGGTTTATATTGTGGCAACATTTACGATGTTCGCAGGAAGCTCATTCAGCGCAACAACAGCTTTAGAAGTGTTATCACTCATGTCGACTGTGACGATGCCGTGGAGAGATGTGCCTAGCCCATACTCTTATTAGATATCTCGCTACACTTCAGAGAGCACGAAGTAGCAGTGTAGAGAAAAACGGGTGTTAGTATAAATGTTTATAGAGCTTGGACCTGCCTTATGTACAGCTCCTGCTCGGAAACAGACGGTGACCTCTAGATTAACTGCAGAAAAAGCCAGTTCCTACAATAATAGCGAGTTCAGCTAAAACTCTCCTGCTACGCGAAATCCAGCTATTCTAAACGATGATGAGACAAAGTCAAACTGCAACAAAAGCAAGAGCAAGAGGTACGGCTGAGTGCGGTCATTATAATGAAGTTGAAGTTCTGGTCAAGTCCAGGCAGATGACCGTTGGCGTTTTTCGTAGTGACTTTTGAATTCGAGATTTTCACACCAAAATGGGGATAAAACCTTCTCAACTCCACAACTACGCACATTTCCCGCGAACAAAGGATGATTTCACAAACAATTGCGCACCAAACACTGGTCTGAGGTAGTATGGGTTCAACACTTCAACCGATCACATGGGAGAGGCATGATGAAGATCAGGGTACAGTCGTGAGACGCTACTTCTCATCATTGATCTCGGCTTTTGGCGCCTCTTTCTGCGCAGCTTCTACAACCAAACATATGATTTTTCGATTATCAATAAACGGCTCGCAGTGTGGGAGAGACAGATCAATGATTTTGAGAAAAGTGAAAAGTCCTGGTAAGGGGAAAAGTAACGCAACGACCAGTGTCAGTGTCAGAACATTAGTGTACAGGGTGAGCATGTTAAGGAAAGATGAAACACAGTAAGTCGGTTCACAGGTATGGGGGTGTCAAACTATCAAGATTGGGGGAAGATCATCAGCTTTTGATTATCACACAATATACACAACTAAGTAGAAGATTCAGAAGGCGAGTCTCCCTCACCCTCATCTCCACGTGCGGCGAGGGCAGCATCAACGCCCTTGAAGAGCAAATCGCTGTTGACGTTCTTGGCGAGATCCTGGAACGTCTTCTTCCTCTTCTTGTCCGCCGTGACTGCATCGGCAGCCGCCACCCACTCGTCCTCCTTCTCGGCGACCATCTCCTCGACCTCCTTCAGCGACGCAACCGCCGCCTCGTGTCGCTCAATCTCAGCTTCGAGCCTAGAGATCTGCTCGTCGCAGGCTGTGGTGTCGAGGGCGTTGGCTTCACCCGCTGCTGATCTGGCGCGGGATGCAAGGCGCACGAATTCAGCCTGGTACTTGGCCTTGAAGTCACGGAGCTCTTCTTCAGCCGTGAGCTCGTCGTTCAGCTCCTCGATGGCCTTCTCGAGCGTCTCAACGTCGACGGTCGGCTCGAGCAGCCCAAACTCGATCCCGATGGCATGGCGAGCCTCGACCTCCTTGGCCTTGGCTTCGTCGAGGACGGTCTTGGCCTCAGAAGCCTTGAGCTTGAGGTGGGTGGCACGCTTGCGCGTGGTCGAGAGAAGTTGGGTGACCTGAGCCCAGAGGCGATCTTGGAGGAGGTGTTCGAGATCTTCGCCCATGGTGGATGGAGAGGCCGGGGGTGGAGAGGCTGTGGAGGAGGGAGAGGTCGTGGTGTGGGGACGAGGGAGGGGGAGGGGGAGGGAGAGGTCGTCAGCGGAGGCCTCGGGATCGAAGACCACACCCGAATCGTCAAGACCGGACTGGGCAAAAGACGGCTCCTCTTCTGGGCCGAGCAGTGTGCGGTCGATGAGAGAGGAATCGTGACCACGGCCCACTTCAGGCGAGGCTGGTGATGGCCGTTGGCGGGCTCCGCTGGGAGAGGGTGTGGAGCGACGCGAGGCAGGAACCTTGCGCTTATCGCGCTGCGCCGCACGACGAGACCGGTTGGTGACGGAGGAGGGGAGGGGGGCCGCTTCGCTGGACTTGAGGTAGTCCAGGAACTCGTTGAGCACCCGGTAGGAAGTGCACGTCACTCGTTGCTCGACCTCACCGAAGAGAGACGTGGTGGTCGGGTCGACGTGCTTGGGGCCGACGGCGAGGTGTGCGGCTTGGTGGGCGTGAAAGTCGGGCAGGAGGGAGAGGATGGCGGGGATGGAAGGCTCGAAGGCGGACAGGCGGGCGAGGGACAGGGCGAGGTGGAAGGAGGGTGTTTCTTGGACGAGTAGGCCGCCGGCCTTCAACTCGCCTCGCCAGCGAGCACCCCAATTGCCAACGATGGTGACAACGTTGTCTCTGATGCGGGCGGCTGTGGCGTCCGTCGACTGCGGGGAGGCGTCGAGGTAGGCGTCCCAGGTGAGCGAGGTGGGGGCCGGTGTGCCGCGGGCAGTCATGGAGAGCGGAGAGATGAGTGGGTGGTTGAAGACATTGACCGACCCACTGTCGGTGAAGAAGAAGAAGAAACGGAGGGTTTGCGGCGGTTGAAGTACTCGTGTTGACAGTCCCAGCCGTGACGGGGAAGTGGCAGCCAGGTTTTGGGAAGGCACGAGGAGACGTCCATCCAGCAAGCAGCATTTGCGACCTGCGATGCTGCTCGAAATGCTCTGATGGTTCACCCAGGCAATCGCGCAGGCCTTTGGAGAGCCGCAGTGAGGTGTGTGGTCTTGCCGCGAATGAGGAAATGTCGAAGCTCGACACTCAACTTGTCACATCGTGCCTGCACTTCAGTCAGTCAGGCTGTCCATTGCGAGTGACATGGTATGCAATTACGGCGGCACCTTCCTTGTATTGGTAGCATGCCAATGTCGCAAAACTGCAGGAGGTGCTTCTGGCGTCACCGACAGCCTGCCAGACGGCGTTTGATCACCTCTGGAAGCGGCAGGCTGCGGAGACGCGTCAATCTCGGTGACTGAACATTGAGCTCAAAGGCGAAGCAGCGTCGTTCTGCTGGCATCTGGGTCAGACGACGCTTCCATAAATGAGAGTGGTTACTCACAAAGCTCGGGTTGTTGGGTGGGTGGTCTTGACGACACAGCCTCACCACGGTCGGCAGGCGTGAGCTGATGAGAAGTCACGTAGCGTCATTGCCACCTGCCTCAGCAGCTCGCCATTCGTGCAGCCAGTGTCGGCAATGTCGTTGAGCGAGCTGCTGAGGTTTTGTCGCTCAGTCGGCCATGTTGGGAGATTTCGTGGTGGGTTCGGATTTCGGTAATTACAGGCTGCGTCGACGAGGAGCGGTTGGCGCGTGCTCGGTGGGCTTGTTCTCGTTGGGCGCTAAACCTAGTCGGAGCAGTTTGCGCATGGGACGCGTCGTGCGTGGTGATTGGTTGAATCATGGAAAACCGCCTACCCATGAATTCCTACCCCTCCTCTTTCGCAATGAATTCCCGCGAACGGCTTATGCCTCAAGCATCTGCAACTTTTACTCTCTCATACGCTTGTCTTATTGACTTACTTGGACATGGTGGCATATTGAAGCTTTGCCCATGTCACGTTGGCAGTCATCTAGCTGAGTTAGATCCTGCCAAGCCGGAGTTCAAAGTCACCGCCTGCCTTTATTACTGCACATCTCAAAACATCTCTCGCGTTTTGATGCGCCTTTTTGAAATCTAGGCAATAAGTTGAATGTGCTTGCTGAGCTGGTCAAATGCGCCGTGTCACAACATTTATTATCTGCTGCTTTCCAGTCAAAAAAGCATTCTGAACTGCGCAACCTTGCAACTGAATGGTGCCCTCCTGATCTCATCGGTTTTCCAATCTCTTTCTCCATATTCATCAACGCCAATTCTTCTGGAACTTTGTTACTTTACCACCGTCGGCAACTACTCATGGAAATTTTGCACGTCTTCCGCGTTATGCTCGTGTATCAAATCATTGAACGAAATCACCCCAAAACCCAACTGGTTCATCCCTGTGTGTTGGTGCCAACCCCGGCCCTTACTCTCCAACTTCCCTTGCATCTTCGCCGGGGATGCTATGGTGGCTTTTCGCCCCGAGTCAGCTCTTGCAATGGCGCACCACACTTGTGGTTGCGCTCGCTCCCCGACTGGTTGGTCGATCACATCACCAGAAGTGAAGATTGCTTCTTCAGAGCTTCGACAGCGAGCTCAGCAAGTGCATAGGCACTATCTCGTGAGGTTATCGAGCGCAAATGATGATTTGGGCCGGGCTCACCATGCCTTGCTGAGGGCATGGACGACGTCTCCGTATGTAGGGCGCCGGCGCTGTGTTACGTCTCGAGTGAGGCGTGATTAACAATAACTAGGAACTACGCAAAATGTCTACTCATTCTACTGAGCACAGATGGGAGTGGAAACCAACCGTTGAAAATCGGGATAATAAACGTAGCATCTACGAAATATAAAGAAAGGGTCGAATACACAGCAGAGGCAATGCGCGCGTCGGCACCGGTCGTTTGCTCTACACTAAAATTGTTATAATAAAAGAAGTACGCTAACAGCAACATATTATCTAAATTGGGCAGAGCTATTTAGATAACTGTGATTTAGGTGAATGGCCCAGACGTCTGGCTAGGTTCCTTGGTATTACAGGATAAGCATATTAATTGGAAATGGTTTCCATGTTGTGTATGTAATGCGGATGGTTCTATTTTAATGTCACAGCACACGAAGTAGAGGGAAACAGTAGAGTGAAAGTACAAAATGCATCTACCGTCATTGACGTTGGTCTTAGAGATTTCGAAATCCTTCAACGTCCTAATCTAAGCTCCACTGCGCTAAAAACTATTTCATTTACTACTCTTCGATTGACACAACCGGTAAGTAAGAAACCATTTCCATGGGGATCGAACTGGCTTGATGGACATGTCAGATCCTTTGACTCATCGTACTGAAAGCATCCCAGGCTCAGACCTGTCTGCCTGACACGTCTCCAGATTTATTGCCTTATGTGTCTATTTCACCAGCGAACTCAATAAGTGTAGCACTTTTTGAGAGAAGAACATCATCCGCATCGACACCTGCACCCAATACTTCCGACTCCGCAGCATCTGTGCCAGTTCGGTTTTGCAGTTTCCGAATGATATCTCGAACTCAATGACTTGAGAGTGTAATGAAACTACTCCTCGTTAGCTCTCACCATTAACAATTTCAGTAATTCTCAATGTCAAAGACCTACCAGGCTGTCAAAAAACCTCAACAGCATCAACAACGTAAATATAAGCGGATTGGTCCACAATATTCCCGGTATGCACATTTCTGAGGAAGTGAGGCACTGCACATACAGGAGACTGTTTTAACGACAATTGCAGCTTCCTGTACTAGATGCCGAGATTTAGGTGTACAATGAGTTCCGTGGAATACATGTGCAAGATTGTCAATGGGATGATGGTGCTGGCAAGAAATGTGGCGATGAGGCAGCTATCTTGCTTGAATTATACCATGATATCATGGATGGTGAGGGGTTTTTGATATACTTAGTAACGAGATTGATTTTGCTGAGTTTGTTCTTACAAGGCTGCTCAGCTGTAACGAATTGGAAATTATGATGATATATATGAATACCACTTCATAGAAATCTTGAGACAATCTTGTATCAGTGGTGGCCGTCAACGACTGCTTTTTGTCAGTATGTAAGCTGGTAGACATATCTTTGCCATCTTTCTGTTTGGTTCAAGCTTTATTGTTAGCACGTTAGCGACTGCACTGAACTTCAGAACGCGATCTATGATACGGGTGGCTCCAGATAGAACCGCAACAATCGTGGGAATGCCACATCCAACCGCTTGGTACGCGCCAGTGGTAAAACCTGAACAATGGTAGACGTTTGAAACATCTGGTCAAGAAGGACAAGTAGCTATTTTGGCTAGAAAAAAGGTTCCAATGCAACCACGTGGGACATTTTGCTATTCTCTGCATGGTCGCGGTTTTCCTGTGCGTACCAAAGAGTTCTCAAATGCTAGAGGGACGGCCTGGTCGAACGTGAGGCCTGTTGGTGAAGCGGAGATGATGATGGATGAAGCAGAAGGGCATGGGCAACGAAACGATTCAGCATTTTCAAGTTGCAAATGAGTTTGAGAAGATGATGTTCCGTCATTTGTAAAGATAGAAGCAATGTATAACGGAGGAAGCCCTGAACGATAGATTAGGCAAAGGTTCGTCCTGCTGGGAATGGTTTTCCATAGCACTGGGGTTCCAACGGCCACTGCACTCTGATTGTGAGGCTCACAGACTTCGGAAAACCCTTTCGGTTCGCGGGAATTACGTCCCTTTCCATTCATCTCTCGTTGTTGCTTCTTTTCACTAGTGAGATCAAACTTGACACGGTAAGTCAAATCCGTTCAATCCCGACAGAGAATTCACTTAGCGCCATATGGTTCACTCCCTTTTCTTCACCAACCCGCACGTCATTCACATTGCTCCTGGCGAAGACACAATTTTCTTCTCTGCACATCCATTTCTAATTTCTTACCACTTGCTGCTTTGAGAAAAAGTTCTCCATAGCGAGAAGGTTCTTTGCACATGACGTAAAAGATTCTATAAGCAGATACATCAGCCTGTGTTAATCGCGAGTTTGTTCGCGGATAAATAACCAGTGGTCGATCTTGTATTGGTAAGGCATGATTTGGTATGTTAACACATTTATATCAGCCGAGCAAAAGATAATTTCTTGATAGATCTGGCCAATTGCTGAACTCACGTTTCGACGCTTAATCTTGCAACGAAGACTTCCATTTGCATCTTTCATCAACCAGTAGAGCGAGAGGCGAGTTAGGTCGTTTTGTGGTTGTTGTAACAGTGTTCGTGTCGAAAGTGCGGAACGTGGTATGGACATACCCGTCAAAAGTCAGCCATTTAATTACAGAGCAAGAAGTTATGTCTTCACCCACAGTTCTATTTATGAAATTTCGCTATGGCGATAATCTAGGCAACTTATTGATGACACCAAAGTATCGGCGCGACAGGGTTGGATCATGCAATTTATCCCGCGAATAAAGTTGCCCGCCTTTTCCCCACTGTGATTGCGTTTACATTTGTCCTTCCCTCGTTGTGTATGCTGCATAATGCGAGCACGCAACGGCATGCCATTCGTTCACGCTAGGCCAACCACATGTGCGCTCATATCTTTTCTCAGCAAAACATTGCCAGCAAAATCCAATAAAGCAATGTCACTACGTAACGTCTTGATGGTTGAACACTGACTGCGACTTCTTTCTCGAACCTCCGTCTTCGGCCAAATCCATCCCACCATTCATACCCTCACCTTTTATTGTTGACGACTTCAACTGCCTTTCCATTTTGCTGCGAATGCACTCGTTGCCCAGCTCGCGTTCGAGCACGACCATGTTGCCTCTGACCATCGACCGTGGTCCCACGCTATCCCCGCTCCGGAACTTTGACATACGTCACATTCCCTGGTGAGGCTCCATTATCTCAGCCGGAGTACGACTCACTGGCATGCATTCGCCGTGTTTGACAGATATGAACACGTTCGAGCAGATCGAATGTATGCGGATTTCCTTCACACGCGCTCATCCAGGAGTAACACATCCAGTTCGTCCTGTTGGATTGAGTTCAGGCGCTGAATTAGCAGCTAAAGTATGCTTTGGGCTCGTTTTGCATCTGAGAGAAGATGAGGAAGGCGGTGGATGGCCAACGAAGATGGCCATTTCTAACTCTGAGGTTTTGAACTATTGGGATCTTTCACAAGGTTTTCCATGACGTGGTTTTGCTGCATCAAGTCAATCCATCTCGCTGCGCCACTCCATCACATTCGTGAAGAATGTCGTAGTTATCAAAGTGGTCCCTGGCATGAGCATAACAAATCCAAAGAAGTTTCATGTCGATTTCCAGCGTTGTCTGACCACGTGTTGCTTTGAGCTCTCATCTCTCTAGACCTTGAGTGGAGAAACCATGATCAAGCGCTTTTTCAGGGCCATAGTGGATCTATTCATATATGTGCTGCACTGGTGAAAGATGGTTCGTTGCGGCTGAGCACATTCTCAAGGATGACGCATGCGGTCATCGCTTCGCGCTAAGGCGAATACGAAAACTAGCGTCCTTTTCCACATCAACATTGCGAAACACAAGCGTGACAACCCTCTGCAATCCGCCAAACGCCATGTCCGCAGTACACGGCCGCCCACCATGACCCTCGCGCTCGACAATCTCGTGAGACGAACTTGTAGCACTTACTGTCCTTACTCACCGCCCCCCATGTCGTCGCGAACGGGGTCACCAACGTGTAACTCCCGGGACAAGCGCATGATGCAGCGCTCCTTCCGCATTCATGTCGACGTCGCGCCTACACTGCCCACCAAACTCCAAGAGCACGTCGACGCGGTCCTTCTGCGGATATAACTCGGCCCGCAGTCATCCAATACAAAGCGCGTCACCTAACGTCGCAGTACAATTTTGGGCGAGTCGTACGTCATTGCCCACGCCTAGAGCGCCCGCGAGGTAGCAGCTAATCTAACTAAGGGTGCGCTAAGACATAGCATACCCTAACTATAATAAGTAGCCTAGCCTTTTATAATAGGAGGGTCTTATCTTTTCTAATAAGTAGTTAGATTCTAGTTTAATTAGTACTTATAAGTAATTTAGAAGAAATATTAAATTAATCTTAACTTAATTTATAATTAATTAACTAAAACCTTTAGTATTCTTACTATAAGTATACCTTTTCTACTTATTAATATTAACCTTAAAATAAGTAATTAAAATATCTTTAAGCCTAATATTACTAAAGTTAAGCTACTAAAAGAAGGTCTTAATAATAGTACTTTTAATCTACCTAAAAAAGTTAAAAATATAGAAAAATATATAAGTATATTAGTTAGTAATTTAAAAGTTAATTTAAAATTAATTAAGAATTAATTCTAAATTAATTTAATATAGACTAAAAATATTTTATAATTACTATTAGGAATAGAAATAGTAATACTCTTAAAGTAAATACTATTAAGTTTATTATAGTAGTTTTATAATATTCTTTAATAGATATTATACGCTTTATATATATTATTTAGTTAAAAGAGATATATATATAAAGCTTTAAGTAAAAGAAGCTACTAAAGTATAAAAAGTATATAAGTATATTAAAATAAATTCTAAATTAATTTAGAGCTAATTTATAAGCCTTAATTTTAATATTTTAAAGCTAATAAAGTTAAAAAGAAAAATACTTTTTATTTTTTCTTTAATACTTATACCTTTTACTAAGTATTTTAGTATTTTAGTAAAAAGTATTATAAATTTATTTAAAATAAATTTTACTTTATTACTTATACTAAAGTTAATAATAAGCTATAGTAGAAACTATACTAGTATAAAAGCTTAATTAAATAACTTAAGCTTAATAAAAGTAAGTATAAAGTAAAGATATACTTTAATACTTTCTATAAGTAGTTTATAGCTAGGTATTATAGCTTTTTAAAACTATTTTATAGCTCTAGATTAAGGATATTAAAAATAGTAGTAAGTTTTAAGTAAATAAGTTTAGAATTTATTTTAAATTAATTATAGCTTCTTATAAGTTCTTCTTATTTAGCATATAAGCTATAAAGCTTAAAAATAAAGTACTATAAAGAAGTAATAAATTTAAAATATTTTAATACTTATTAATATAAAGTACCTTTAAATACTTTTTAATAGTTTTACTATACCTCCTTAGAAGTATTAGAGTATAGTTAAACTAATATACTTATAATTAAATAAGTATAGTATAAGTTACTACTTTTTCTTAATAATTAATTTTAAATTAATTCTAAGTTAATCTAAGTATTAATTATATTTAAAGTTAAAGTAAGATAGTAAAGTAAAGCTATAGTATTATTTTTAATATTATTATTTTAGTTAATACTAAATAAGTTTTATATCTAATACTAGTATTAACTAGTATATATATATATACTCTACTTCTACTTTAGCTTATAGATATTAATAATATAAATATAATTATTTATATTCTATAGCTTATACTATACTTTAGTATTACTTAAAGTATATAAAATTAAAGTTAATTTAAAACTAATTCTAATTTAATTTTAGCTATATTTCTTTTTTTTTTTTTTTTTTTAAGGTATTTTACTTAGCATAAGTATTATTTAATTAAAGAACTTTATATAGTATTTATAAATAAAAACTATATTATAAAACCTATTTACTATAAGTAGCTTCTTATATTTCTATATAAAAGTAAACTTAAAGGTATTATATTTAAGTAAAAGATAAATAACTAAAACTTTAATATAGTAAATAAGAAGTTAATAAATTATAAATTAATTCTAAATTAATAAAGCCTATATCTAATAAGTTCTTTTTATAATATCTAAAAATATTATTATCTAGATTTTTAAAGACTAAGCTTAGTTACTTATAAAGTAGAATATATTTTAAATTAATATATTATTTAAGAGGTTTAAGAATAGCTAGTTTAAAGAATTATTTACTTTATTTTTAAAAGATTATAAAAAGAGTAAGCTAAAATTAATCTATTTTTAATTAATTCTAAAATAAATCTAGTTTTTATATCTAATAAAATTATTATAAATATATAAACTTTAAAGATATATAAAAAAGTATTAACTATATTTTTTAAAATAGTAGAGAAGCTTACTAAAGTTAAGCTTAAGTAGTTATATCTTTATAATATAGGCTATATTAGTAAAACTATTAATATAGATATAAAGTAGATAGCTAGTATATTAAATTAATTTAAGATTAATTAATTATTTATTTACTAATTTAATTTAGGCTTTAGGTAATACTTTTCTTAAGTAATTAAAAATTATTATATTTAGTAAGACTAGCTTAGCTTCTATATATAGTTCTATTAAATTTACTTTTTTTATAGTATTAATAAAGTTATTCTTTAAGCTTTATATATTAAAGAGTTTATATAAGAGTATATAAAAGCTCTTTTAATAGCTAAAAGCTAAGCTAAGTATATAAAGCTATATAATCTAAACTTTTATAAGTCTTTTAAACTAAAATAAATTTTAAATTATTTTTATTTACTTTTAGCTACTTCTAGGTCCTAGAATATTAAAGATTAGGCTAAGTATAAAAAGAGCTATATTATTATAGCTAAATTAAACTTTTACTATAGTAATATACTATATACTACTTAAAATACACTAGAATCTTATTTTAATACTATTAAGTAAGCTACCTTTAAAAAATACTATACTAAAGTTAAATATACTCTCTTTTAAAGTTTTAAAATTTAAGTTAGTATTAATTAATTTTTAATTAATTTATAATTAATTCTTACTTAGTTAAGGTAATATATATAAATAAGTAAAATCTCTAAGAATAGAAGGCTTATAATAAGTATAATATATAGTATAAGTTATATAAAATACTTAGCTTTAAAGATAAGTACTTCTAAAATATAAGTAAAAAGCTTAGTAGTAAGTATAATATAAATTATTCTTAGATTAATTCTAAATTTATTAAAGTACTATAAATTTTCTATTTATAATATTATTAAAACTTTAAATAATAAAAAGAATATACTAGAAAGCCTAAATAAGTTTAGCTTAAGTAAAGTATAGTAAATTTACTTTTATATAAAAATAATAAAAGTTTAAAAAGTAGTATAAGTATAATTTTACTAATTTTTACCTTTAAAAAGCTTAGTAATATAAGTAATATCTTCTTTTTTTTTATTTAAGTAAGTAGAAGTTTAAATTAATTCTAAATTAATTACTAATTAATATAAGCTTAGCTTCTTAGGTACTAAATAAAAAGTATAAAAAGTTCTATCTAGAATATAAAAAAGCCTTATTTAAGTATAAAAAATAGTAGTTTTAGTTAAAGTAAAAGAAGGCTAAAGTAGTACTAAGACTATATAAGTTATATATATAGTAAGCTAAAAAATAGTTAAAGTATAAATAAATTCTAAATTAATTAAGGCTTACTTTATACTATAGCCTAAATAAGTATAGTCTTAAATAGGTTTTTTATACTAAATATAAGTAAAATATAATTTTTTTTTAACTTAGTATTTTTTTTTTACTACTACTTCTATAATAGCTAATAAAATACTTCTTACTTACGTTAGAAAGAAATAATTAATAAAGAATTAATTCTAATATTATTTAGCTTACTTATTAATACTATATAGTACTTCCTTAACTTCTTTTTAGTATAATAGTATTTTACTTCTAAGATAATAGAGGTTATTATATTATCTATACTAAAGAACTTTTCTTCTATATATAAATTAATAATAGTACTATATTATATAGTATAAGTCTTTTTTTCTATATAATTTAATCTAGAATTATTTTTTAATTAATTTAGTAAAAGTTCTTATATTATAGTTCTCTTTATAATTATATATATAAGAATTACTCTAAGTATTCTTTTAAAAATTAACTAGCTAGTACTATATTAATAAAATAGTTCTATAATACCTTTATATATTTCTATAGTATTATAGAAATTAATAATAACTAGGTTAAAAGTTTTAATAATTAATTTCTAATCTATTTAGCTTTACTAGTAAATACTTCTAGTTTAAAAGTTATATAAAAGTAGCCTATAAAAAAGAATATACTACTACTTATACTTAGTAAAGATAAAAAGGTTAAGATAAAAGAAAGTAATATAAAAAAAGTAGGTAAAGTAAGTAGTATATAAAATAAATTAAGAATTAACCTAAAATTAATTTCTTTAAATAAAATAAAAAAATAAAACTATTTTTATTAAAGATTTAATATATTTTACTATAAAGTATTAAATAAAAATATAAAATAAAAGAAAAAGTAGGTTAACTTTAAAAAAACCTATTAAATCTTATTTTTAAAAGGTATTTAAATACTTTATAAGTACTATAAGTAAAAGAAGTATAAAAGTAAGTATATCTTTTATAAATATATTATAAATTAGTTAATAATTAATTAAAATACCTACTAAAAGGTTTTTATAAAAACTAATCTTTATTTATAGAAACTAAGAGTTTATAACATAAGTAATTCTTCTTTAGCTATATAATAATTAAAGGCTCTTTATATATAAAATTTACTAGTATAAATTAATTCTTTATTAATTCTAAATTAATCTAGCTTATACTAAAAGAAGTAAGTAAAGAAAAAGCTAAAAGAAACTAACTTATACTAGTTCTTTTCTTTTTTCTTTCTATTTTTTAACTTTAGTACTAGTGTGTTTTCTTTTATAAACTTAACTTAAAGATTATAGTTCTTATAGTACTAGATATTAATCTTTCTTAAAAAGAAGTAGTCTAAATTAATTAGTAATTAAATAATAATTAATTTACTTAAATACTTATAGTTAAATTCTTTATTAAACTTAGCTATATATATTTTATATAGGCTTTAGTAGTAAAGTATAGTATAGACAGCAGTATTTATATAAATAAAGTTATACTATATATTTATTAAAATAAATTAGAAATTAATTAATAATTAATTCTACTTACTTTATTATTTAATAGCTAAATAACTAACTAAAGAGAGAGAACTAGTATAAAAGCCTATATAACTATAATATTAGCTTATATAGCTAGTAGTAAAGTAGTAAAAGTATAATAAGTAGTTATAATATATATATACTAAGCTAAATTTATTAATAATTAATTATAAATTAATTATAAAAAAACTTACTTAGCTTTTAGTTTACTAGAGTAATACCTAGTAAGCTAAGGCTATAAGTAAAGGTAGTAAAGTTTTTAATATTATAAGCATAGTATATATAGTTAATAAAGTTACTATACTTAGAAAAGTAATACTATATAATAATAAAAATTTATTATTAATTAATTATTAATTAATCTATATACTATAAAGATAGCTACTTTTAATATCTATATAGTAGTAAATTTTACTAATATAGATAATAAAGTTATTATTAATATTAAGCGTAAATAGACTAATACCTATAAAAAAGGTTAGTAAAGTATAATAGTCTTTATAGTTTTACTATAATTACTAAATAATTTTTTTATAATTAATTTAAGTTACTTATATTTCTATCTAGAATAGTATATAAGTAGTTAATAGCTATAGTAGCTGTAGGTAGGTAAGTATAAAGTTAGTATAATATTAAATTAATATATTTTATTAAAATTAATTAAGAATTAATTTATAATTAATTTATATTAATATACTTATCTTAGCTTTTACTTAAGTGTACGTATTAATATCTTAGTATGCTATGTCTTAGCGCCCCCTTAGTTACATAGCCTGCTTCCTAAGCGCCCGCGATGAGGCCGCCATTGTCCGCCATTCCGACGACTGCCACACTGCTGCGCGTGCACAGCAGCTGACTGTACACCGTCACGTGCGTCGTGCAGGTCCTCAACATCTGGATGCACTTGCGCGAGCTGGACGCAGCAGGCGTGGCTACATACTACATACTCCGTGAAGAGCATCTGCGACTGCATACTGCGCATTGAGGAGCACCTGCTGAAGGCAAAGGGCTGCTATGAAATCACATCAAAAACGCCCTCGCCGACCGCTTGCAATCGCTCAAGCAAGCTATCAGACCGTTTGGGGACAAGTTCATCAGAGCCCCAGGACCACCAGCTCTGCCTGCAAGGCCGGATTCCACGCCTGTCTAGCTGCCGCCATCGTCAAACTATCTTGTGTCTTCTGAGCCGGCCGAGAAGGAGAGTAAACGGGGAAGAGGCAAGAGCGACAATGGATGAACAAAGCGCCGGGTCACTATGCTCGTCAGAAGCCCTCAACACACGATTACTTCCTTCACCCGCCGCATTCGAGGCGCTTGCTTGCACTCGCTCATTCGTCAGGTCTGCTCCTCGGCGCAGGTTGTCGTGACTTCTCAGCGTCTGCTTGAGCGATCATTAAGGCTTGTCGATAATGCGCTGCTTTCCCACCACAAACAAGATCCGTCTCGCATGCGCCCTTTTGTCGCTGTTTCCTCCGGCCTTGGCTAAGTGGTGAGGCAATGCCATGTTATTGATGCAGCATTTGGCGACAACTGGGGTCATGCCCATGGACACCTTTACGTCGAAACAACACCTTCACGTCGCAATAACGCCTGCACGCTGCAACACCACGTCCATCTGCCTGAGCAATCCCATTATCGTCAATTCTCATCTCCATCTTGTTTCCTATCGCAATGACTCTCTTTGTGCGTCGATGCATTTTGACCGAATAGAAACGCAGTCGCTTCGACGTCTCTCACGATCTTCTCGGCGCCCGGCCTCACTCTTGCGACATAAGATACCATGCTTTCTCACCACCTCCGCGTCCTCCCCTCCAACCTCCAACAACTCGCCTGCCAACTCACCGGCCTTGACCTCTGCACTCGCCCTCTCTCCATGAGCCCGCCGTTACACTGAGACCTGTATCTCTCACATGGCATGGCGCGCCTTCAATTTCCTCGCCGCGAGACGCAATGCCCCTCCATGGCAGTAGGGATGGAAGTTACAAGCTATGGCGATATTCGGATCGCTGATGAAAAAGCGACCGGTTGGCAGGAACTGCGAGGGAAAAGGCAGATGATTGACATATGTAGGCCTTCCAGGGCGTCGAGGGTAGGCTGACAAGAGAAGTCACGACGGGGATCTGGCACGACATCTCGCCTTTGCGGTCTAAAAGGAAAAGAATTGCGCGATGAGGGAAAACGGCATACATCGAAAGGACCATTTGATCCCGTGCTCATTTCGGGACAGCGAGTTCCATCGCATGTAGCTGCACAATACATCTTCAAAAGCCACTGCTCCTCATTGCGTCTTTCCTGGTCCTCCATCACTGTCTGTAGCCCTACATCCACAATCATTGCCTCTACTGCCGCTGCTTGACAATGGGCTTGAGACTGAGCTTAACATTGCCATGTTCTTCAGACACGTCGTTAGCTTCTTAGGTACATTACGCTCAACGTTTCCGCTGCAGTGGGCTCACATCAACGGCGCGCTTGCAATCGAGGACCCGTGATACACGCCCTACGAAGTTCTGACGTGCAATGTCAGAGCACCACTGCCCGAGTGAAGCATCACGCTCCTCACCCGGATCCCACCCACCACTGCACCGAATCTATGAGCTCGCCAATCCCAGCTCCCTCAGCTCAACCTCTGCTAGTCGTCTCACCGTCCTCTTTCGTCTCGCGTCGCCCACAATACTCGTCACGCTACGCCAAGCCAAGCCTCCGCAATCGAGCGTCACCAGCGCTGCAAGATTGTTTTTCACTTTCACTTCACGTCCCCACCATGGCGGGGTATCAGCTCCGCTTTGCCCTCGCGTCCTGGTCACGGCAACTTGCACGTCGCGCTCGTTTCGCCCGCCTCAACTTCCGCACCGTCGACCCTCTCCAGTATCGCGACGTGATCGCTTGATGCAGTCGCCGTGCCAGCACGGTTGCCAGGCTTCTGTTGATTTCTCCGCCAGTATGTGGGCTTGGTTTGTGTGGGCGGTTGCGCGTGACTGACTGTTGATCAAGGCCTCACGAGTACGACACCATGGCATTTGCCGCGCATACTCCAGGCCAATTGCACCCACAAGACGTCCCCGAGACTCTGGACGGTTCCTTGAAAAGCATTATCGATACCGGCGATCGTGATACGGGTTGTGAGGGCTGCAGACGTCTTTCGGACGGAGAGACCAGGCTGTATTCTCGGGACAAGCAAGGAACCTTGATGAAGGTAAACTTGCGCTGCTTAGCGTGTGCTGCAACGAGCATGGAGCAGCGGATTGTGGGAGAAGCGGCGGCGGAGTCGGAGGTGCCTGAGAAACCATCTCGACACGTGAATTGTGCAGACAACAAGACGAGCTCTTTCAGCGTGAGCGCAAACGAGCAACTCAAGCCCTCTTTAGGCGAAGACAGCCGTACTTACGGAGATGCAAGGCAAGACAGTCCACCTGATTTGACGACGACGTCGTTCCAACCCCCAACAATTGGCGGTTGTTCCCCACCGCCGTCAACGCCGCGCAACATCCCGGACTTCAACACTCGTCAGCTCCGCCCGCTTAGAATGGCAGGCCCCTACCCATGTAGTGACCCAGTGCTGTCGACGGAACCATTGCAACAGACGATCGTTGGTCGATCTAGGATGAGCAATAGGGCTATGCCGACAACAACATCTTTATCACAACCTATTACCGAGTCATCTCGACCACTGACGGCGCCGCGCAATGTGGTGAAGTCCAACACTCGCTCTCCACGACCGATGCAAATGACCGGCGCTTACCCCCGCATGCTCAACCGACAACCCCGTTTTGAGAAGAGACATCATGGCGGGCGAAGCCTGAATGATGCTCAAGTGCATACCCTTGACGGCCGTGGTTTTGATGGGACTCAGGTGCACATCACTACTGGGGCTTCGCTCTCGCATCTCCGTCACGTCACACCCGTTCGCGATCACGACCTTACACTTGCCCACGGGCGCAGTCTCACACACGACCGCGCTGGTATGAGCAGCCAGCCAGAATTGCAGACCTCCACAAGCAAGACCACCCCCGCTTTTGCACCATGCGTAAGTACTGTCAAGACAAATCCTGATGCCAAGCACTGTCAGCTCAAGAAAGAGGAGATTGTCGATGAGCCGCATGTCTCACCCAGCAAGGCAAGCTCGACGTTTTGCTTGAGACTCGCAACGTGGGCGCGGAAGAGCTTAGCTTGGGGACGATCGGGTGGCAGGAGTCGCGATTCACGCGATTTACACGATGATCGTGGATGAATGTTGTGGGGCAATGGGAGAGGACGGTGAAGTGAGGGACGTTATTGGCGCAGCATTTGGTCAGTTGGATGAATTGGGTGCTTCTGCAGATTTGGAATGGCAATTTGGAGTTACTCTGAGGCGGTATGTGTAGACATGCATCATCTGCAACTGACGTGTACATTACATTACAACATCCACGCTCTTGATATCGACCAAAGCCGCCTAAAAGGCCTCCATTCACTCAGCAGATACTCAATTTACATAATCCAAATCATTTCACTCCTACGCCTTCCGCGTTCCAATCTTCCGCGGCGTTCTCCTCGGGGCTGGTGCCGGTACGTCACTTTCCTTCTCCGTTGTCTTGCTCGTCAACTTCCTTGGTTTCTTGCGCTCTTCGGCTGCATATGATGACGAAGGCTTAGTTTCCTTCTCGCCGCTGGAAGAAGTGCGCTTTACTTGGCCCGATGGTGTGGGCTTGGTGGATGACTGGGGCTGAGAAGGTTTGGGCGGGGCTTGTTTGGGAGCAGTGGGTCTTGATGGGGTGGGCTTCGTGCTTGATGGATTAGGTTGCGCTTTCGGGGTTGTCTTTGATGTGGGCGCCTTTTGAGATTTCGGTGGTGGCGCTTCTTTTGCGGTTGGAGCTTGTTTGGGGGTCGGAGCTTCTTTGGGTGTTGAGGGTTGTTTGTTCGTTGCCTGCTTTTGACTCCGAGTCCTTGGCTGACTTGGCTGAGTCGATACTTTCTGTTGATCCTGGCTCGTCGCCTTCCCACCCCAAGAAGGCATCGCAGCTCCCAGCCCTCCCAACCCGAGGGTACTTGCTTTGGGAACGGATGGCATCGACGGCACACTTGGTCTCCAGCTTGTCACATCCTTGGCTGACTGCGACCACGTCTGCGGCATATCATCTGGAGCCTGAGCCTTCATCTCCTCCAACTCCTTTTGCGAGGGTGCTTGCGTCTCGCTGGTCTGCATGACCATCTTCTCCAGCGCCTTCTTCTGCGCGGGCGTGGATGACCAGTTTGGAAAATCGCCCACCACGCCTCTCACACCCTGACTCGCCATCTGCCCCAGATCCCAAAACGGCCCATTGATCGCCCCGTACACGGACCCCACGCCGCCCCCGAGCAAGCCCGTGACGGTAGACACCACGCCCCCGACCAACGCGCCCGTCACTTTACCCAGCGTAACACCAGGCTGCACACCGAGTCCTGCTCCAGCGGCAAGGCCTTGGAATGTTCCTGACTGAGTATATTTTGCTGCTTTGCCGAAAGACTCTGCTTCGATTTCCTTGTTGATGGCTTTTGCGAGAATTTCTTCCCGCGCTTGGGGGTCGCCGGCGGCGTTTGCCGCCTGGCGAAGTTCCCAGGCCTTTTGCATCGCTTGGAGCGCCATGCTTGCGGAGACGCCCGAGTTTTGCTTGAGCTCGTGCTCGGGAATGCCCTGGGGGGTGGGCATGATTTGGGCTGGAGGGTTTGGTATTGTAGGATATGTGATTGTAGAATTTGGTTGATTTTGTGGCGCTTTTGGGCTGGCGATTGTAGATCGGTATCAAGATGGAATGTGGAGATTCTGGGGGTTGGTCGAGCGATGGATATGGTAAGGCTGAGGTGTCGACGTCATGCCAAGTTGGAAGTGGAACCCCGCTCGCTTCTAATCCTTGCAAAGCCTACGCTCTTCCCGCGTTTCTCAATTCTGATTGGAACGGCACTGAACACCAGCCCGGCCGCTTTTACCGCGAACAAATCGGGTTGCAACAACACAGAACTAATGTTCCTCGTTTTACGATTGGCTGTGCTCGGAATCCTCATCCTTTGGGCTGCGAGGTGAATATACCCGGGCCGTGCCTGCATCAACAACTACTTGCTACTTCCTTATGATTGGCTATGTTGCTTCTAACAAGCAGACCGAAATAAACTCTTCTCAAGGCTTTACCGCGAACATACCAGATTTTATTGAAACTGGTTCAAAGCTTGTATCTATGCACATGTTCAAACCCCGTCTGCGTCAAGCTGAAGAAAAGTACGTATCATCCTACACCAGATCGAGAAGCGAATCCTGGCCACAACAAATCTATTCATGCTTCTCAGCAAGGGGTGCAACTCCACTCTTCCTTCGGTTGGGTGTGTGATTACGACTAGTCCTGTGGGCTGGATCTTCGCTACTCCTGTACACCAGCGCAGGTCGAGGCCCTTTTACAGCAACCTCAAACTATTATGACCATTCGCTTGAATTCTAACACCCGAAAAAGTCTATAGTCAAGACAGCCTACTTATTCAAAAATACTCCGTCCTCGGGGCTGAATATTCAACACCTATCCATTGTCCTTCTCCAGCACCAAGTATACCTCTGACTCTTAGGCATTTCAGCTCGTGGTGTGCCTGAACCGTCAGCTTATAATCATCGGAAACACCTGGTTTGCCATGAAGGAGTTCGTCGGCTATGACCCATTGCTGAATCATTTCGATGCATCTGCCCAGTCGTTGTTCCCTGTCTAGCATGGTCGACGAAAGGGAGGTGCCGGTCTTGAGCTGTATGATCGGCCCTCGCATACTTGGCATGTCAAAGATGTTCGACATACACTCATTGGACCGATGTAGAAGTCGGGGGAACTTCGATAGTGACTTGGTTCACTGAGGCTCAGAAGTGCGTTCTGCAACCATGAAATTCTATAATCGCTACGGCTGGCTTGGCACACACGCCTGTTGTCAAAAAATCACATAGAGGCTGTCGATATCACCGTCCTTCTCGGCAAGCAATGCTGCAAGAGCTATATGAAAATCTTTTTCGCCTTGGCGATTAGACCGTCATGAAACGAGAAATGAGAGTACTATTGAAGTCGAGCGTGAAATCTCGACGGTCAGTACGGCATATCGGTTTATTCCATTTTAAGTCAAGTCCATACATTCCATTCCGATCCTTGTTCTATCTCTTCTCTTGCTTCCCACATCAGCTCAATCTTGACGAGAGATCGAAAGTCCGCCACATCTCCGACCCACGCTTCGCTTTTCTTAGGAATTTAGTCTGATCTTCCCAGGACATCGCGGCTAGAAAGAGAAATAGGACGTATGTTGAGATATTTTTCGTGCCTCGGAGGTGTTCACACGCCAACTTGCGTATTGTCACACGGTGACTGTATTTGCTCAAGAGCAATATATACCATCATCCTGCTCCAAAAGCTTGAATGATTTATGCAGAATTCGACACTACTCTATGATTCAATTCAGAGTCTATCATTCTTTTTCTCTTCTGGAAAATGACCCAAAAACGCTGTTGAGTTCCATGTTTGCGCCTATTATCGCTGAACTTGAGTATGTTTCCTGTACCTGGGCTTAGTTTTTTTTTGACGATGGTACACAATGCATGCAATTCGACCTCATGAAGTCTGACATGTTCTGGCACATATAACCCATCATTTTGCACGACGATATTGTCACGATTCCCAGTTATACTGCAGGGTCTGGCTGATTGCTTGGTAGTGCTGAGATTCACAGGTTGTATCTGCGGCGAACGGAGAGTCGTCTAGGCGCTGTAACACTCCCGAGCGATTCAGGGTTGAGCCAGATCCCCAAAATGTACGATATTGTTAATGGCTGCTGACTTCGTGCAGGTTGTTGTTCTGTGGACTGGTGCGTTCTTGTTCGCGATACGTCCACGCTCAATCTCAAATCCATACGCATTGCTGCTTCTGCGGTCTGGCTTCTGCTTCTCGACCGAGTGTCTCTTCTGAGACTGGGTGGCCACATGGCGAGTAGCTTCGCCACGTGATATGGCCGGATGTGCAGTTACAATGTGCTCCTTGCACACAGGCTTGATATACCACTCCGGGAAGGTTTAACGCACTGGCACGGTTATCCGAGCACGAAAAAGAAACAGAGAGTGGATACGAGGGCTGATTATCGATTCTAACTGGCTCTGATGGTCAGATTCACTAATACTTCAATAGGCGGTAAGGTTCAGCTTGATGTTGACTAATCTCCCGGATAGACCCCTCCGCTTCAAAACTCGTCGGTGCCCCCTTTAAAGCAACTCGCACCAGAAATACCCATTTGCATAGATACACAGTCGGTTTGCCAACTTGGAAAGACGCTATGGAATGCGGGAAGTCGACCGGAATATGCCTCGCAGTTTTTCCTGGCTCTGAGAGGCTAAAACCTAGCATAGTGTCACGGTCTGAAGACGCGAAACAGACTATCGGTCTTCATAAGTTCCACAACCATATATTTGCGCCACACATATACTTTCCTGTTTTTCTGTACACCTAGCTCTTCTGAGCACCCTGTAGAACGCAGTGTGACTGTCTTGCAAGCTTTTAATATCTTCCGACAGCAACTTGGCACAAATCAGTTGTGCTTGTGAAGATGTTGCCGAGAACAGTGCTCATCCGCATTCAACGAATTGATACCGAGGCTATCAAAACTAACCCTTGTTGATTGGAGTGGGGCCTAGCAGTGACCCGCGAAGTAGACATGATTTGATCTTTAAGATATTCATTGCTTCTGCCAGCGTCTAGGGTTCATCGCAGGAGTACTGTCAATGGCCTTAATGTCCAGTTCCACTTTAGCTTCGAAGATAACGTTATGTGGCTACTAACTTTCAAAGTGTGATTGCAGCCTTGCAATGTCGCTTTTAGTCTTGGTGTCCTGTTGCTTCGGAATCCCGAACACGCCAATTCCATAGTAATCGCACATAAAAGTCTAGCTATGCTAACGAAGCATTGGCAGATGTTGCATAAACTATTCACGCTACTGATAGCCAGTGTTATGCGTTTGATACATGTTGTGCAATGTTCAAGGAAGTAAGGTTTTATTATCCTGGCTGAGCAGTTCGCAACACGTAATCGGTGATATTGATACTGTTGCATATATCGGTTACTTTCCCGAGCACAGTCACCAGGCTCATAACTGACTGATATGTTTCAACTCAATTAAACTGTTCTTTCATGACTGCTCTCCCCTTTACGACTAACTTGCAAATTGTAGATCAATTAATATATACTCGTTTTGACACTGTTGCGCTTACGATGCTTAGGCAACTAGCTTGTTGGAAGCAATATAAGTAAGTCTTAAATATAGGCCTCTTTACGGACGTAGCAGCCTGCCCAGTAGCTCACCCCGAACGCAGGTGTTGTCTACTATTACTGTTCACCAAGATGAGAGTAACAAGACACCCGGAAACAGGTTAATACCGAGTCTGGGACGCGATTGCAAGTAGGTTGAAGTGTACATCAACACGAGACTGCCGAGCATATTCGTGGTTGTTGGAAGTACAAGTAGGACAGCGCAAGCAGAACAATAGGAATGAGTTCCAGGGAATGGGATCGATTACCATAAAGTGCTATGGTGTTCCTTGGCTCTTCTTTTTACAAAGATGTCAGTATATCAGTTGTTCGCAGGAGTTCACGACCGTGACACGGGTACGCAATGCCGCATTATGATACAACTTCACTGCTGCATTTTTTTACGTCTTTCCTTATACCTTGACTTTTGAAATCTACCATGCCTGTTGCAATAACTATTATAGAATAATCAGCAACTGAACTTTTTACAGTATAAATTTGTCTTCCAACTTCAAGTCCAAAATGCCCTGACGACACACTACCTTTTAGTCCGGACATCCCTCCCCAGAAGCTCAGGGTTGCACATCAATGCGACACAGAAGATAGAGTACAGATTTTGCAGGTATCAAAGCTAGTAATGAAGCTTTATCCAGAATATGTCATTAGACCTTCGGGTAGGCATGAAAGTCTTCAACGAAGAAGGTAAAAAGTGCAATTTGCTGGGCAAGAGATGACTTCGGCGATTTCTTTATGGCGCGGTGTAGTACTCTTCTACACAATCTACAAATTGGCAATTTAATAAGTGCATCAGTGTATACTGCGCTTTGGCAGACACGTTTGGTGAGCTTAAGAAAATGACGGGGATGGAAAGCAGTAAGCCGAAACTTTCTCACGTTCTTGATATACTCTTACAAGTATTTCCAATGAATAAGTAGTCATCATTTCAACTGCCCTAGAGATGTTCAGGTCTATGAGCCTGGGTTACGCTGGTACGTTTTCGAAAACGAACAACGATATGCTCGTGCTGCCAGTGAGCCTTGCAAGAGCCGACACTGCCGGAGATTACAAGGAGAGAGATGGGGGAGGATCAGAGTCTACTTGCAATGCCGGCTGACTCCTTGGATGACCATACTGTCGAACGACTGGAAGATTCCAAGAACGAACCTTGGTCAGCTACGAGCTCATCGCCACGCACACAGTTTCCAACCAATCTCACAGTTCTCCGCAAATCGGAAAACCTGGAGCTGGAAAGAAGGTACACTGCCACGATCGCAACACACGGAAGCACAGCCGATCAGCACACGACTTTGACTGCATCATACAACTATCTCAAGATTGGAGTGCGGGTTGTGAGAAGTCTCAAAGCCTTCTTTCGAGCTAAGAAAGAGATATCACAACTAAAGAAATATACTCCGGGCAAGATCTATTATTTGGAGCAGAAAAAGTATCTTTTCGGATAGGAACTGGAGAATTGAAACAAGGATGTCCTATTAAGCAATTTCGATTACCGTTCACAATCGAACAACAATGAATGGAAATCTTTGGGCGATGCAAGTCCTCACCCAAAGGAATCGTAAACACTGATCCCGATACTGCTTGCAAAGACTTGGTTGCATTATACAACGCTTCCAATGCTGGCAAGAATGTAGTTGGCAGTCAACATAACAATCTCGTTGCAGTGCACGCGGTCCTCAACAATTCACATTCAACGGTTTCAAGCCGCGCCATGTAACACCATGGCCATAACGCTACACTTGCTCAACTCTCCCCCGTGATGCTGCACAACAAACCCTTCCTTCTCGAGTAGAAGCCCAGTGTAGCCCCTGCCCGCCAACCGCCACGTACATACACCTTCCAGCCCCCATTGCTGCGCACAAGCTGACGGATGGCTTCGAAGCTTGACCAAAGATTGGCATAGTCAGGCGGCGCATCCGATAGTAGGAAGGTAAACTGCTCCAACATGCTTTGAGCGAAGCTTAGACCCATAGCCATTTGTCTGCGTCTTCGTCTATCAACGTGTTGAGATGTAGGTCGTTTACCTGAACTACAATTGGAAAGAGAAACGAAAGTTCTAGTTGACAATGTAATCTATTGATACAAGGCCTGATGATCGAACTACTCATACGAGATCATGACATACTATTATAGCGGGGGAGTAGGTGCAGTGGGCAGATGACTGCATGCGATGAGAGGTTTCGATAGGATGGTAAGCAGGGGGACAGTGAATTTGATTAAAATATTTGCGATGACTAGCGACTCTGGCAAAGACTTGAGTAAGAAATAGTTTCCTCTTCGTATGCGGTCTTTCTCGTCAGCATTGGGCGTCAAATAGCTGTCAGTGTGAGGAGAATCGAAGTGCCTCCGGAGAGTAGCGTAGCGATTCGGAAGCTACGGACATTGTGAAATTGGAACAATCCGAACTTGGCATTAAAGATCGCTATCGTATGTCTGTCTATGACACGACGAATTGTGGTACGCTCGTGGAATATCCGACTATCTGCGGAGACTCTATCACCGCTCTGTGCAGCATGGGCATGATCCGCTTGCCACGATGGGAGCATGGACACAGAATTTTGTGGTACAGACTCAAGACCGTGACCCTATTATGAGGGAATGACTGAATGCTGAAGATGCGTATTACAAGCGTGCTGATGAAAATGTATAAGCGATGAATGGCGGTAGGAAAGCCCTGAAAGGCTCTAAAGAAAGCATCGTTGTCGTAATCCATTCGGTGATGACCAGAGTGGCAACAGCGGTATTGCCAGCAATGCCGGTCCTTTTGAGAATGAATATTGTGAAGATTATGTTGCCCGATGGATCTCGTTTCGCTCTGACATGACGGAGTGTAAGGGAACCGCGGCGATGGCGCAGTCGACAAGAAGGAGCTGGTGTCTGGGCGTGAGTAACGAAGATGTAAAGACAGAAGTTGTGGGGGAGGGCGACATTGATGTCGTAAGATCTTGAGGTCCGCGAGATGCTGCACGACAGAACAACAGAATGGGAAGACTTGTTGTCCTGGAAATCTGCCGTCTGGATTCAGACAGCTGGGCGCCCGCGGACGTACTACGACGTCGGCTGCTGCAGGAAACCTGGACGGTAACATTGACGAGCACGACTCCAAAATCACGTCTCGATAAATGACATCAGTACACTGCGTGTACATGCCTATGATGGCGCGCTCCACGGACGTAAGTTGACAAGGACGTGACAGCCATCATTCAGTATTGTCGTCCTACAGTAGCCAGAACTAAATCGTTTTCACACCATAGAACGTCTCGTGTACCAGAGAGACGAAGTCCGGATTGTTGGCCATGTCAAGATCTAAGTGCGAGTTGAACATGGTAATCGTCGATAATGACTGTATTGTAGGCGAGACTGTGACGCAGGTCTTTGAGCTTTGGTTTATCTGGCAGCTTGCGCCATCAGTACGTAGGTTCGGGAATGGAGACTGTGTGGGGCAGGAGCCGAATCGATCAACGACCGGCGAAGAAAATCGGCGTCATAACATTGTTTCAAGACACTGGAGGGGAGGAAGGTCGTTATCAAGGTCAATGTTATTGATGTGACGGTGGTTGTGGTGAGGAAGCCTAGCTCTCGTGATGGCGTTTGTCAAAACAACCCACTATTCCCCCGAGCCGGTCAGGACACGTCCATTTGCGATGAGGGACAAAGAGGATCGGTTGAGGCGGCACACAAAAGGCAGCAACTATGATAGCCTCGGCCTGTCGTGCCCGCGAGCATCTGTGTCCTCCGAAAAGGAGCGCGCTTGCTGTGCCTTGCTCAGCCTGTGCATGTGTGCACTGCGGTTGCGCAGTTGCTTGGTTACATGGCCGCGCGCAGCGCGTATGAGAATTGCCGTCGGCTTGTCTCGACAGGCTGTTAAGGCGACTGCGTGATGCGGATGCTGGGCCGACAGCTGGGCAGGCCATCGCGGGGGTGTGCTCGAGCAGCATCTCAGAGGATGCTCTCAGCAAGCTTGAGATGGCCGTGGGAAGGGAAGCTGTCGCGTCAATCGATCGCGTCAAGGGATCAGGAGTCGCGCTGTTTGCGGTGAAGCAGAGACTCCCACTGTTGAAAGTGCAGCATACTGATAATGCGCATCTGCAGGCAGCATAGCGAGGCGTGAAGGTCGTGGTTGGCCTGCTGTCGTTGACGTGTTACATGTTGTGGCGGTGTTGAGCTGCTCGGAAGGCTGCACCAGCCAAGGCTGGATTGTGCGTCCTGACCTTTTGTCCTAACCTTTTTCCGGTACCAAAAGTACAGTGCGGTCTCAAATTCTCAGGTGTCACGGCTGTGATTGGTTCGATTGATTCGCACTGTGACGCAAGACGAAAAGCCTCGGCTTACTCATGGTCTGGTCTGGAGCAAAACCAACGAGTATCGCTAAAGCCAAGCACTGACAAGCGGATATTCCTGAGTCGGTAAATCTCCGTCTTCCGCTGATCAATCTCGCTGCACGACTACTTGCGACGGCGCATTCGATCCGCCAACCTCAAAGAAGGTCTCATTCCACCCTCCCTGATATTCTTAGTATTTATGTCAGGGCAATCACGCTCTCATCTCTATAACAATAGTCCTTCGTTGCGCATCACAGCAGGGCGCTTACTCCCACCATGCCACCTCAGATGGAATCGCGATCCCAATGCACATTCTCCCAGGGTTAAGCAGAATTCACAGTACAGTAGTGCGCGACGCTTTCTATCGTCTGATTAGACATCTTGAGCGCAACGGTCAGCCTGGAATAATCGTCATCCAAATTTCAAAACCCTCGATCTCTTCACCAACCTCTACCTCTCCCCATGATCACACTCAAGCCGCGTGGTGAAGAATCAGTACTGTGTCACTTTTCAAGATAAGGGCGACGGGGTTCTAGGATTCATTTGGAATGATAATTTTCAGAGTTGGTTTGATGTGAGTGGTTTCAAAACTCGTAACAGTGTTGAGGTTGATGAGCACGAAGGACTAACAAAATGAGTTGTTTAGTCACTCTTCTCATTGACAACAGTGTGTCGAGCTTTCCGAAGCAGCACCGAAAGTTAGTCTGCTGTTAGCACCGCCATGAGAATTCTTGATCTCGTCCAGACGATTGCATCCATGATATGTATTTTCACATTTCGCAGGAGGCAGTAAGACCGATGTCAGCCGCAGGTATGATCTTCGCGCTAGTCTTCAATGTACTCGATGTTAGTATTTCTGCGGGAACAGGTGCTACACGTTAGTAAGCGTTTGCCGAAGAGATATTCAGTCAATCCTGTATGTGCTTTTCGAGCATTGCCACATCTCAGAAAGGATGTTTGGCGGTCGGAGGAGCAGCGCTAGGTTGATGATTTGGACGTGCATATAGAAGAAGGGCGACTTGAAAGCTGATGAGTACGTGCGCTGTGGGTCGAATAGGCCGTATGCAGAGAAGGGCCAAGATACAGTGTGTAGATCGGACAGGCCATGCGATTGTACAGCACGGTGAGGATCGTGTGTGTGGGGTGAGGCGAAGGTGGGATGATGAGGTCGACGGTAGAGTGTGTAATGGCAGCCGGAGCGTTGCAGCGCGAGGAACAAACAGGGTTAATATGCAGGCTCAGCGTCACCGTCGTGGCTGCGCCTCCTCTTCGCTATAAGACAGCATCGCGTGTAGTGTTACTATTCGAGACGAGTCGATTGTGCGTGTGGCTCCACAAAGCTCGTCACGAATTTGATGCGTTAACAAGAAGGCTTCAAGGACACACGGCGCTCCGTCGCTTGCACATCATCGACCTGACGTCCTACAGCATAGCAACCATAGTGTGGTGGCGGTACTTCTATCCAATGCTTCGGTATCACGACACACATCTTCAATGCCACACAGCCCGTCATCGCGCAGCCTACACCATGCGCTTCCCCAGCAAGAAGCTTATGTCAAGCCCTGCGGGCAGCGGTAGTTCAAGACCACAGATGGCATACTTGTGCGGGTCGTGCAGAGGCGAGACGACGATTCAAGGAGGATGCCGAACTCTACCACGTTGGCGTGGATATGGCGCGGGCATTCGATGTCGTCGTGCACCTGGACAAAGAGAGCCCGGCGGCTCATACCGTAACAATGATCATGAAGATCGTTACAAACGTGACCAGTCCATCACCTGCACTTACTTATATCTTGAATTGCAGCTGTCGAAGTTTCCAATCTAGATATTTGTACAGATTGGCTATCCGTCCAAGAGACGTCAGTAGTGCAAAACACACCAAGTAAACACCACTCTGTCAGGCTAGTTTACCCTGTACAACATCACCTCGCCTTCACATCGATTACTTGCCAAATTATCTTCTACGGTATACATCTACTCATCTACTCCAACTTTCCAGCTTGACATTTTCAACTCTCAATTGTCCTACAGCCTTGTTTTCACAATGTTCTCCTTCCCATCGCCTCTCTGTCCTTCCTTTTGCTCTGTCAACACTTTTCTCTACATCCCCAACTACATCATACTCGTTGACAAATATTTCAACCCATGTTACAATTTTAAATCTTTCCAGCCACTTAGCTGAAGGTTTTTTTGCCAAGTGCAATTCAAGATATACTTCAACCTCATCAGTAGCCGTTTTGTAAGTCAAGTGTAGGATACTGAAAATGGCGGCACTATCGGCTGTGGAATGTATCAATGGCCCTCCAACTGGAATTTTGTAGGTCATTTTCGCCGCAGCGGGGCACCGAGAGCTGACTAACTTTTACTCTATAGCATTCTTCGTCTTCGAATCAGTTTTTATTGTCGACTGATCTCCGACATAAACTCTGATTTCCACCCCGACCCCTTGCTCTGCCCATCTTTCTCCACAACTCACTCCGACCAAGAATTTCGATCCTTTCCCTTTTGCGTCAGCACGGTGTTGAGTTGAGGTGTCCTTCTCCCACTTGCTTTCTCCGCACATCTTTGGTGTGCCATGTTCATATCCAACATCGGGCAGCCGGGTGGTCAGATATACAGTTAATGCAGGCTTACATATTGCTACGCTCGCGTACGTCTTGTCCATGAGGGAAGTCGCACATAGGATATAGTTATCGTAGCGGAGGTCAACGCGATAAACGGTATTGAGAATGATATTGGGGACGGTGGGAAAAGTGCATGATAGTTCAACTCTAGTAGAATATGGAATCGCGAACCTCAATATCAACGCATGCAAGTAGGAGGCAGAAGAGGGTTAACGATTGATAACGAAGACTGTGCGCCAGAATTCAAGTAGCAAAAAACGTGAGTAGTGCAAGGCAACAAGTTATATTAGGTCCCGCGCAGAGCAGTACCCCGATCCCACAAAGGAATTGGAACACAACTGACAGCATCGACGGAGAAACCTCTCTGTGTGCTCTGCAGAAGCTACAAAACGAAATGAGGTAAACATATCAAAGTCATGGATATGCGCTCCGCTACCAAAACCTCATAATCAAATTGTACACACACTACCACAAACAACTTTGTGTACCTTACAATTACACTGACACTTTATCTTTCATAGGCACAACTAGAATGTGCGTGGAATCTTTGCCTCTTGCCTCTCTCAGTCCAACATGTCAGTCGACAGCTCAACAGACAGACAATCCGTATAGCCCGTGCAGCAGTAGCGTGATAGTCAACAGGATGAAGAATTAATACAGAACCCTTCGAAGAGCCAATTCCATGTTTTCAAAGCGCGTCTGATGTTGAGCACACGTATGAGAAAAGAAGTGAGGATGGTATAGATGAGCTATGCAAGTAGACTAGGAAGAGATTTCCCGCGAACTAAGGAATGAAGAATAAATGCAGGTCTGGTACGGGCGAAGTGGCGCGTGGCGATTGGTGTTGTGGTCGACTTTAGAGGCGATGAATGGGGTCGCTGTTGTGCTGGCTCAACCTTTCGCGAGTGAATACCAACTCCAAATTTGTTCTAAATCTTACGCACTTTGGACTGTCCGATCTTCTGATTAAGACCAGCCTGCTCAGGTTCCAAAGAACCATGACTATTCCTCCAATTCCTGCATAGCCTCGATGCCAACAAAATCTAAAACTGGCAATCTCAAAGCGCAGGCAGTGCTTTGCAACTTCGATGTGAGAGTAACCTCAGCAACGTAATAATTATAGGCGTTCTGTCATTCTCATTCTCCGATCATACGCCTTGACTTGTCTGCCACTTGACTTCATGGTTGGCTGGAACACCCAACAGTCCAGGAATCTCACGGCGAAGTCCAGAAGCTCCAAAAAGCGGCAGGCGGGGTGTGCATCATCTTGTGGCCAAAGCTCACAGCTCCTCCCCGCCTCGTTACCGTAACTTACGAACGAGAACATCCACATCGTCCCTGTTGTAGATGCTGCCACCCTTACAGCACACCTCTACTCGGCCGATTTTACGACCGTCGACGCGCTCCTTACATAATGAGACGTTAACATCCAGTCGGCCCGTGACGCCCGCCACGCCCACCGCCTCCCTGCAAACCGCCGAAAATGCCTCGGATAATCTTCACAACCGCGCCTTTGACACGCTACTATACTGTGATGAGTTGCACACACAACAGTGCAGTTGCTGTATCTGTGCGCTGGAAACGCTAGGGTGATGTCACAGCCCTAGCGGAAGCAGATGATGGTATCGCGTATAGAAGCATTGTCTGTGCAAAGACGATATTGGCTACTTCCGGCATCAGCTGGATCTCGTAGAGGCATTGTTCATCAACGTCCTTGGCGGGGTGGCACGCTGTGGTGGATCAACCGTGTTGCAGCCGAGAGGTGCAAAACGGAGGACACAATCGAACTGGCACTGGTGATGAATTTGGGAGCGGGCATGTGAGAAATGTTGGAAAAGGTGATTGTTAAGAGATAAAAAGCATCCGCGAATCAATGCTCGCATGCACCGCATCCACGGGTCGGGCCGAGAAGTAGTGGTAGTGTCAGCGGTGCGACTATGCCTGCCTACACGTCTGTCTGATGCTGCCTACACTCTACATTACGCAACACTACTGTAGTCTCCCTATTATAGCGCCTGTACTGTAATTTACGTATATAGAATATAGTATTAAGCCCTTACGTATATATTATTAATATTTAATACTAGATTACTATCCCTAAGCTTAGTGTTAACGTAGTTATAGCTAGTATTATAGATAGATAGTAACGCTGTAGTATTATTTAGCAGAGTTATAATAATAACTATGTAACTTATAATTTTATTATTTTAGCAGCCTATAAAAATACTTAATACTATTTAGAATTAATTTATATATAAATATCCTAATAAATATAAGGTTATAGTTAAGAATTAATATACTAAAGTTTAGTATTTTAGTAGTAGGTATTATTATAATAGTTAGGTTACTATATATAGTATTATAGGCGTAGTACTAATATATCCTTACAGCTGCGCATAAATTAATATATATTAATAACTTAAAAATAGTAATATATTACTATAAAAAAGATAGCGTACTTAGATTTAGATAATTATATTATAAAGTTATTATAAAGTAGGCTTATTATTATATTATTATATTACTACTAAAACTATACGTAGTTAGAGTATCTAGGCAGTAGTTAGATTATAATATTAGTAGCTGCTTATAACAGTTGTACGCCTACTTAACTATAATATATAGAATTAGTTTTAAATATTTTAATTATATAATAGAAGCTACTAAGAATAATAAAAAGATTAGAATTAAATAATATTATAGTATAATACCTACGTTAGGGGTATATAGGCCTGTAGTAGTATCTCTAAGTATAGACGCAGTAGAAACGCTAATACGCTAATAACTAAAATCTAGTATACGTTAGAATTAAACTAGTATCCTTATACTAATACTATAAGTATAATATCTCTATAAGTATATTATATTATTATCTATTTCTTATTAGTAATAAATTTAGTAACTTAAAATATATAATATTAGAGTCTATCTCCCCTTTAATTTAACGCGCTAGCTAGGCGCCTAGATAATAAGGATATTATAAGTAGGTATTTATCTAATCTTTGCACTATAAATAATAATAATACTAATAGTATAGCTTAATAGTAAAGAAAATATACCTAAATAAAAAATATAATTAGTACTTACCTTTAACCTCTTTATCTTTATATTTATTAGCCTCCTTATAATTATTTAAGACTAAATAAACTTAAGAAATATATATTTAAGCTATTATACTATACTGCTAATAGGATAACTTAGCTGTAGTAAAGGTAGCTATATAAGTGTTTAGTTTTAACTATAGTATCTCCTAGAGCTTCTATTAATATAGGTATTCTTCTAATTAATATTATATATATATAAGAGTTAAGTACACTTATAATAGGTTAAATTAAGACTATTATAAGCTTAACGCGTTAAATACTTAGAGGTATACTAGTTTCTCTAGAAAATAAGGCTATACTACTACTTTTATACTTAAAGCTATTAACTTATAGGAGCTAGACAGTGTATAGGAGTTAAGACCTAGATAGGATTATAATAAGCTGCTTTTCTATAACTATAGCCCTATATATAATCTTAGTATACTGCCTACTACCTAACGCGCTTAAATTACCCTTAAGATTATCTAAGAAATTATCTTATATTACTATACTAGTTTAGTACTTAGGAAGTTAGCTACGCTATTACGTAATAAGTTTCCTAGCTATCTTATAAATAGATAAGATATTAATAATATTTGTTTTAAATAATATCTATTAGTATAGGAATAAGAAGGAAAGGTTATAGCTACTTATAAGTTACTTAAATCTAATAGTTACTAGTATAAGTAATTTATTTAACTAGAGATAAGAAAACTTTACTATATAGTATAGTTTAACTATAAAGTAATTAAGCTTTATAGCCTTACCCCTAATATTATTCTCTTTAACTATATGTTTAAAACTAACTATTATAATCTCTCTTTTATTAACTTTGTTACTTTAACTAGTAATAACTCTACTATTTACCTTAGCTACAGTATACTTAATAGAGTAATATATAATATCTATAAGTAGGTACTTACTATAATAAAGGAGTATCTTTAAGAGTATAACCTTTTAAGGTATCTCTATGTTATTTTATTAAATAGAGAGTAGGCTTGTATTAATATTATAAAAGCTATTCTTAAATACACTAATAAGACTAGTAGAGATAAGTCTATAGTACCTAAAACTGTATTCTACCTAGATACTAAAATAATACTACTTAACACCTGTATTAAGTTTCTTAAACTTAATAACCTAAATAACTATTCTGCTATCTAATTAGTAGAAGAGGTATTTATAGAAGTAGATATACTTCTTTATTAATAGTATATAAATAAGGATATTATATTATACGCCTAAATACGTTGCTATAAGCTAGGCTACTAAGAGATTACTAAGGATAGTAAGGTTATAGAGAATATTATACGTATAAAGAGTAATATTATAGATACTATAGCTATATAGTCTTTCTAGACACTGTTTTAGGAACTATTAAGGAGTAATACTAAGGATCTTTTTAATAAGAACTGTATAAAGGTATATAAACTATTACCTATAATAGTAATATATCTAGACTAAGTTTAGTAGCCTTATAAAGACAAGATTATATAGTATTAAACATCTAGGTTTATATCTTAGAGAATAATAGCTATATTAATTATTAAAGAAGTGTACTCTTAAGTAAAGAAGTAGTTAAAGATAAGCTAAAATAATATACTCTCTCTTATAGTAAAGACTTATCTTTACTATAAGGCCTACCTTAAGTAAGTAAAGAAGAAGAATAAGCTAAGTAGTACTACTTATACTAATATTACCTATACTCTTAATCTAATCTTTATTAATTTAATTAGGCGTATCTTTAGTTATTCCCTTAAGTAGCTTAAGTATAACCTTACTAAAGTAGCTAATTATCTTTAAAGAGAATATTAAGAGCCTACTATATTTAAAATTAAGCTATACTCTAAGTAGTATTTAAGAAAGTATAGGTAGCTATGCTATTATAACTATATTAACATTCTCTATAAATATAAAGTAAGTAAGAACGCCTAGTTTCTTATTAATATCTTTAATAGGTATTAGATAGTAGACTAGTAATCTATCTTAGGCTAATATAAGTATTAAGTCTAAGAGCTAAAGTAGTAGCTAAGGGGAAATACCCTCCTAAAATAGTATAAGAAGAACGTTAATACCTTATTAACTATATATAGTATAACTAGGCCTAAACTATAAGAAGCTGTACTAGTGTTATTAGATACTAGATTATAGCTACTAGTATAATAGAATATATATAAGCCTTTTAAGGAGTAGAGCTAGAACCTCTATATTATTCTCTAGCCTCCTTTAAGCGTACCTATATACGCTTAGTAGTAGGTAGGTTACCTACTATAGAGTTATCTAGATATCTACTACTATAGCTAAGGCCTTTTATAGTACTAAGAGTACCTAACTTACTACTCTAGTAGTAGGTATATAATATATATACAGCTACTACTACTATAGTAGTAGGTCTATTTATATATCTAGATACCTTTATAGGTTTAATATAATTCTATACTAGTCTTAATATATAGTCTACTGTATAGTTTATATCTTAGTAGAGGGCCTATCTATATTATACCTCCTCCTCTAAGCCTACTAGCCTATAGTTTATACCTTAGTAGTAGGTTTATATATCTCTTTCTACTAGTGTATCTTAGCCTATTACTAGTAGGTAATATATTTATTAAGCTAATTTAGAATAATTCTAGTAATTACTAGTTTACTTATATACCTAGGTAAGTATCCTAGTAGGCTGCAAACTTATATATAAAATATAAGTAAAGATTTTTAATTTTTTTTATTTTATATTAGGAATATAACCTATCTAAGTACGTAAAAAGATATCTAGAATAAGGTTTATAATCTAAGTATACAGTTATTTATATACTTAGATTATACCCTCTATTCTAGATATATTTTTAATATACTTAGATTATACTCTCTATTCTAGACATATTTTTAATATACTTAGATAAGTTATATTTCTAATATATCTTTAATTTTACTTAGTAAGTTTTTTTTTTATATAAAGTCTTATTTTAGGTTACTGTTTTATTATTTATAGGTGTTTATAGTTACGTTACTAGGGTAAATAGGCTTAACTTTAAGTAAGTATACTTAAAATCTTACTATTCTTTTACTTCTAAGTCTACTAAAGCTATTATTATACGTTCTTTAATAAGCTTACTAATAAGGCTTATAAAAGCTAGCTAGTAATACCTCCTATAAAGCTCTATAGACTTTAATATATAGTATAGATAAATAATATAGTAGTTATAGTTAATAGTATATATAGTAAATAGTACTCCTATTACTCTTATAGAGCCTAAGCCTAAGGATATTAACCTTAATTAGTTTAACTTTAATTCTGTTAGAGATAGCCTTTCTAATAATAATAGTATACCCTTTCTCTACGTCCTTAACGCCCTTATAAGAAGCCTTAACAAAGGCTTACTTAGGTAACTATAACCTAGTCTTAGTAGCCTCTTAGGTAACAGCCTAGGTAATAATAATAATAATAATAATAATAACAGCGCTGCTACGCTAAATGTAAAGTTTATATTTAATCTTAACTAGGCTAGATACGTATATAACCTACCTGCGCCTAATAAGCTAGGTTAGGTATATAACTAAGTAGACTTACTAAATAAGAGGCGTAGGACCCTTACCTATATCTATCTTATTAATAGGCGTTATAGGTTAAATAAGTTAGTAGAGTATTCTTACTATTATAAAAGCTACTAGTCTACTACTAGTTTAGTTTAATAGTATAATTAAGCCTATTAGAGGTACTATAAGGACCTTTATCCTCTATATACTAAACTAGGCAGCTAGTATATAGACTATTAGGTAAGTAGTAGTAAATATAACTTTACTACTTAGCTAAAGGCTACTTTATAAAGAGGGCTAAAGTAGAGGTATAAAAAGTCTAATAAGTTATCTAGTAGCTCTAAAGACTTTAACTATAATATAGTTTATAGCTTAAAGTAAGGATATCTAAGGGTACCTATTAAGAAGTAGAAGTAGTAGGTAAAGAAGAGGTAGTAGGCACTTACGCTTACGTATAAAAATAAAAAGAAGTAAGTAAAGAAGGTAGCTACTATAATAAGGTATACTATTAAAGGTAAGCTACTAAAGCTTATATTAAAGGTAAGGGCCTAGCGTACTAAGGTTATAGAGCTAGACTAGTATAAGATAGACTTTAAGACAGTAAAGAAAGAGGAAGAGGATAAGGATAATAATAATAGCCTTAGGCTAGGCCTATTAGATAGATAGTTTAGGTAGTATATATTTAGTAATATATAGTAATAATACCTATTAAGCTAGTCTTTAGGTTTCTATCTTCTTTAACTCTAGTCTTAAACTCTAGTTTTAAATATATATAACTTCTTTACCTCTTAGCTAAATAACTATAGTTTTTCTATTCTTTCTCCTAATATTATATACCTCTGTTATTTAATTTAAATAACAAAGTTAACTAGTTATAAGTAGGTAGTAGGCAGTAGTAAGTAGGGGCCTTTATAGATATATAAATATTACCTCTAGCTACTTCTCTATCCTTTCTACACTCTACTAAGTAAGTACTACTACCTAATACTCTTCTTAAGTTATACTTATCTAAGTAGCAGCTTAGGCGTTTACCTAAAGGTAGTACTTACCTATTATATTCTTAGCTATGCCTACTTATTACTGTATATACTTAATATTTATATACTACTATTATTTAATTTAAATAATAAAGTTAATTAATTATAAGTAGGTAGTAGACAGTAGTAAGTAGAGGCCTTTATAGGTATATAAATATTACCTCTAGCTACTTCTCTATTATTCCTATACTCTACTTTTATAGTAGAGCCTTAGGGCTTTTATAAAAAAGTGTATATCTTAATATAGAACTTCTAAATTAACCTTAAGTTTATAGCTACTAGTTACTATATACTTCTAGTATTTATATCTCTTTATTATTTAACTTAAATAATAAAATTAACTAGTTATAAGTAGGCAGTAAAGAGAAGTATTTATAGGTATATAAATATTACCTCTAGCTACTTTTCTATTATTCTTATACTCTACTCTATAGCTACTACTAGAAGCGTACTTTCTCCTAATAGGCTAGAAATATATATCCTAGTCTAGCCTACTTTTAGTAGCTTTTAATCTATATTAATAGGCCTTTAAGCTAATACCTATTAGTCTAATACTATTACTATTATCCTTAGAAGATAGTTATAGTTTCTAAACTTAGGTTAATAGAGCTAGTATTTATAGTTAAGGTAGTATTAGCGTTAGGTAATAACTTTAAGCTGCCTTATAAATTATAGGTATGCTAATAAAAACTTTAAAGTATTATAATACTATAATATAGTAATAATTATTTAAATCTTTTATTAGTAATTATCTTAGTATATTATATTAAGCTATTTAGTATACTACAGTATTTATTTTAGGTATTAGGTTAGGTAGTTATAATACTACTAAGTATAACGCTACATATAGGTAATAGGACAATAAGATAAGATAATAAGATAGAATAATAGGTCTATTTATAATACTACGCCCTATACTATATTAATAATATAGTATATAACGCTTTTAATATATATATAAGGGCTTAATACTATGTTCTATATACGTAAATTACAGTATAGGTGCTATAATAGGGAGACTGCAGTAGTGTAGCACGCGATGTAGAGTGTAGGCAGAATTAGTTAAATGTGTGGGTAGGCATAGTCGCACCGTAGTGTCGGTAGGTAGCTCTAAAGCAGTACATGGTTGAGCTAGTTATTACGTCATCTCGCGCTCCATCGTGATCTTCCTCTCGCTCCCATCCTTTCTGACATCTCTGTTATCTCTGATATAGTCGAATGGCTGTCCTCTGCTTGCTTTCTGATTCCTTGCTTACATCTAATCGAGCGAAGCATGTATGGATCCCCCCAACATCTTGCTTGTTTGTCGCAGTATTAAGAGGAAGGCCTCTTATAGCATATTAATCTGTTACAAACATAGTATATTTGTAGCTCTCATCAGGATTATCGATGCAGGGAAACATCTCCTTGCGTGACCACGTGAACGGAGTGGACATGCACGTAGATACCGGATTTTGAGTCCTCACGAGCGATACAGCCGGATTTTGGAAGGGCAACAATCCTCAGTCTAGAATTCGCGGCAAACAGGATGCATGTTGGCACAGGTGATTCGAACTTACACTATTGGGCCAGGAAGAAGGGTTTCAATCAGGTCTTCGTTGATAATGGTTTGATACGGAAGGACACACAACAATGACCCACACGCCACCATGGAGGATGTAGATCGAGCTATTCCCACGAAGGTATCGCACAGAGGCATGGTTGAGGTTCATGGCCATCTCGATCAAGCGCTGGTGAAGTGGAATAGCAAGTTCCTAGCAGAGCAGAAAACTACAAGTGTAACAACAGCAGCGTATTCTTCGTACCAAGCTGAGATGGTGAGGAGGACATTTCAGATGAATTGCACTTTGCTGGAAGTTCTGAAAATGACTTCGAGATGAAGTCACCGGACGTGCATTGCATGTCGACATCCCTGCGGGCAAAGCAAGGTAGTGATTGGTGAGCTGAGCAATAACGTCGATAAATAACGGGGCCGACGTGCCGATGTGCCGAGCGACCTGCCCGAACGTGTCTACCGTCCAGCCTCCAGCCCCCGAGACAAATCGCTCAACCTTCATTAACATGTTTCACCGGCCTGTCATATGATTTACAAGTCGTATCCATCCATGCAACCTGACTGGGAGCATCCTTCTACCAATGCGTAACTTGCCATTTTCCAACTTGTTTGCTGCCCACTCGAGCCTTTGCTCACCTTATGCACACTCCAACCGCTTCAATAACGCTGCACTTTTTCCAGCCACTTGAACCATGTCGCCCATGCCCGTGTCGTGTAGCTCTTGGATATATGTCCAGCAGCTGCATCAATAACTGTCTGCAATTAAAGACAGGCGCTCTATGAGCTGCTTACGGCCGTTTGAACTAACGCAATCTCTTGTTCGCTCGCAGAATAAATACAATTCTGGCTTGGATATATTTGACCGGCACTGGCACGTCCTTGCTTGAGGTATGACATGGACGTGTACCCAGCAACAAGTGCTGTTCTTCCAAACACCGGCGACATCACTTGGACGAAGACGTCTTTGCCCTCTGGTGAGTACCCAGCTTTTTCCTTCCCCTAATCCTCCTCCTTTTTGATGAACCCAGCACAGATCAACATGGCTGATACAGATGGATGTGTGCAGACTTTAATACCAGTCACTCCACGGCCCTATACCCATTACATCCAGCGACCGCGTGCCTCCTCAACCATCGGACAAAGCGCGACAGTACCCGCTCCTTCACCCCATCATGACATCGCATCTGTAGTCTTACCCCCAACACGGCAATTACTTTAGCTCTCTTCAATTATGTCGACTCCTGTTAGAATCTAGCACTCAAAGCCGTGTGCAAGAGTCTTGCTACCGCGCACAAAGACGTGCGGGCAAGCCTGGAGGTTCGGCGCTTGCACCTCGACAAGCGTGAGGCACATTAATTCTGGCCAACCAAATCACGACGATGTGGTCTCTCGTATCAAGATGCTACTCAGCCTTTCTCGGGATATGGCCAAGCGCGATGTCATCAAGCGGCTATCGCAGTTTGTGGCAAACGTGACCCCCATCACCGGCATCAATGAAGCATGGACGACGCATTTCGATGACCGACCCCTTCCTAACAGCGCCGGATATCGTGGTAACCTTGAGATCGCGCTTCGTTGCGTTCTTGGCAGGTCATACGAGTCCGTCACTCTGGAAGATAAGTACGATGATTCTGTAAAAGAAGTGGCCAAGCGCGCGCAATCAGAGTGAGGCTATGTCCGCGGCGCACAGGATTGGAAAGGCCGGTGGGCCGAGGTCGACCAAAAGGTGCGGGAGTTGAAGGAGAGTCTAGAGAATGAAGCTGAGCTCAAGGACAAGAACTTAAGGTCGAGGATGAGGAAGAGGATATAGATTTGTAGTCGGAGAATCATGGATGTTGTACATCTAACGGTACCAAGTTTTCTATTCTATCCATCCCCTCATCATTCCTGCTCAACTTTTTCATGACATCTCATCTTATCCCTTTTTTTCTTTTCTACTGTGCTGCTGATTTTTGTTGTAGTGCAACTTTAGAAACATTTAGTTCCAACTATACTCATTAACCATTACTGTTACATCTCGTGCTACGCAAAACAGCTTAGTATATCTCGCGCAGGTCCGGATAAATACATCTAACCTAACCAACATATAGACAAAGTGATTGTTGCCGTAAGACGTGCACAAGATAAGCTGTTGCACGATACCTAGCTTAGAAAAAAGACACGCTCTAAGGCAGGGGTTGTGTGTAGGGCTAGCCGAGTATAGTCTAAGTTATTCTAGCCGGAATTTTGGCTGGGGCTTGGAGCGGCGCACGAGCACGGGGAAACAATAAGGAAAAGATCTTAGGTGGGATCTACTGCCCTAAACGTGGGGATTGCGAGAGTGCGCGGGATATAATGCTGCACAAGAGGTTAAGGGAACGAAGAGTAGTTGCAAAAGGATAGGACCCAAATACTTGGCAAGTTTTTCTAAAGATTTTATTAAGGCCAGACGTCTTGGAGTGTGTAATAGTGGCTTGTTAGAAAGAGCACACGGCTTGGAATAACAGCGAGGTTTATTGAGCACGGGAAGAACAGATAAAGATATCAGGATAAAGACTTATAAGGGCTCAGATAACTCAAGCTTTACTATGCTCGAATGAATATCATTATTATTCAACCTAATGAACTAACCTACTTGGTTAACACGTGTTTTATTTTTCACGTGAAGCCATTCCACGATTTGCCTTCACCCCGGTTATAATCCACAACCCGCCCAATTTACAATCCCTTCTTCTCTTCCCCTCTTCTATTTGCCTACCTACCTTTCTGTAACTCCAGCGAATCCCAGCTCAACCTCATTTTCTACAGAATTACCATCTCGCGATACAATCACGTCGACCCGCCTCTTCTCATCAAGTCTACCACCCTCTCGATTCCATTAATGGCGTTGCATTTCCTCCGTACTGTTCGTAAAAGGGTTCCACAAACTACACTGACTCAGCCTCGGCATAATTACCCACCGAAGCTGCAGCGTGAGCTCAAACTAGCAAAACATGGCCTTGACATATACATAGTAGCGGTAGGCACAGGCGACGAGGGTCTAGGTCACAATCCTGATCACCCCGCAGTCGACAGCAAGGGCGCGAGTGCGGGTGGAAATCTCATCATCTTGAGGGCGGATGGAGTTTGCTGAACTTTCGAACTGTTGGGAGTAGCGGAGGGGTTGCTGATTGTGTGCGGTTTGGGTGTGTTGATAGTGTCTTCTTCGACGCTGTTGATGGGGTAATTATCGTCGTCTGACAATTGACAAGAGATTAGTAGCGTAAAAACTTTGCTGTCAATATTGTAGCCTCGGTTTGACGGCTTAATGGCGCTGACCTCCTGACGCGTTACACTGGTCCCAGGCACCCTCATACGCTGGTATGGATTTACTCGTTTTGGTCTGACCCTCTCACGTTGCCTGGTAGCATTCCGCGCAGGTGGACACTGGAAAGTCTGTGGCTGAGGGCCAGCGTCACGCAGAGCTCACGCTGACTTCACAAACGTCTACTACGAAGTGTACAGCAAGACCTTATGCCTCATCCACGGCCAATGACTATAGCAAACCAAATCGCGGTATCCACGCCCTCAACGCCCTCAAAGACCTCCGTGGCGGCGACGCTGGCCAGATGACGGCGCGCTTTGCCTTCTATCTGTATACCATCGTGCGCGGCCACGAAACAATGGCTATAGTGATGGCAGCAGAGGCTCTTGGCTGTCTTGTAAAGCCTGGCTCAGATGTAGGTTGACCTCGTCTTGCAACGTGACACAAGAGATTTGAGGTCAGGGAGGCCGACGCTTCTGACATGCCCACAGTATAACGTCCTTGTTCCCACTCACTAAAACTAAGGCGTCACCAGCCGGCAGTGTCGAAGGTGAGATATAGCACATCGCAGATGGGATGCGGTCGCGTTGCGGGCAGGTATGTTGGGTACCTAGGAGATATCTGTTGAGTCAGAGATGAATGCCGTTGCTATGTTCTAAGAGTGAAAAAAGTGTGTAGAATGAATGTCATGTCAAGTAATGGGCCGCTCTTGGATGCGGAAAAAACACAGGCGACACGCCGAAAATTGAAGTCCGTAACGCAAGGGAACTAGTTTAGCGTCCTTGCTAGCGTTGTGATCTTCATTTGTACGATCCTTCAATTCCACCCCAGTCGAGAACGAGCGCGGGATTCGAAGACCGACCCTCAAACATCTGCATCAAGCACGCAAACAAAAGAATAAGGAAACAAAATACAGTATCTTGGCACAAGGTCTATACCTGCGAGCCTCGTGCTGGCGGTCGTTTTAAGTTCACGTGATTTGATTCAGTCAGATACAGTCTTCACGAATCGCACACAGATCGTGACAGCACATCCGAAGACAATAAATGCAGGGAACAAGTCGCAGTTCCATACAAAGGGTGCGGCCTAGAGCATTGTAAGAATATGGCGGATACGGTTATTAGCCCTCGGCCAATCGAATATTCTCAATCGGTTGCTTGACTGATCAAGAATAAATTCAGCTTCCTAACAATTAAAAGTGCAGTGCGCGCCTTGCACATACCAACAAAGCTCTAAATTTAGAGCTTTGGTGGCTCGCAGGGGCTGCCGGCTCGAGAACCCGCCACAATCTGATTGGTATATTGCCACCCACGCCACAACGTTATCAGCATCATGATGTCAGCCGTACGCGAGTGGCTTATTGCGCCGAGCTTTGCCGTGACTCCTCGAGCACGTACACATTTTTATCATCGCTAAGGGCCCTGTCGTGGCTTTCGCTCTCCCCATCCTGATTCTCAGGTTGCTGCACCCTCACACTGCAAAATATCCGGGGTAGAAAATCTTTATTCCCTCAGATCGATGTCTGCTCGTTTACTCGCTTGTGTTTAATGCTCTTAAGTCACTTTGGCTGCATCGCTTGACTACTGTCTCTCTACGTTAAATGCAGAACCAAGAAGTCACTCTTACTAGCTCTTTCATTGGGTTCGCAAGGAAATGGGGCAGAAATGAAGAGATCAGCGAAGCCGGCGAAGTGCTCGCGAGAACCTACGAAGACGATATCGTCAGCGAGCTGTACTACATCACCGCGACCCCCTACAACTCTTTGTCTATCGTAGGATGTTTACAAGTGTACCATAATCCGCTCAAAGGGTGAGTTGCTGTTTCATCTACAACGCTCATTATGGCACGTATAGGTTCTGTTCCTGCCGTGCAAATACAATATTTTTCGCCAGACGATCCTGCCGCCATTTCGTTGCTTCGCCGCCATCTCGCGACAAAACATACCGTTCGTTCTCTCTGCCACGCAAAGTATCTGCTTCTACTTAGCGGCTCTTTCCTCTGTCTTTACATATGAGACTGTAGCCACGGCCTCAGAGACGTCGGTAATCAATCTTCAGGGCTTCCGAGAATCATCTGCTGCAGGCATCTGCCACGCCAGATCGAACGTCAAGGAGTCGCTGGACTCACGCGACGCGATGCATACTGAGTCAAAGGATCGAACTAGTCACAAGACAAATGCGATTGCTTGTCGCACGTATGTCTGGCACTATCAATATTTAGCCATCGAGGACGGAAAGATGGAAATGACTCCGACAACACTATTGTCATGCCTCGCGCAAACGTCCAACGCGCAAACACACTTCCGTCTATCTCGTTACAGGCCTTTTATCTGTCACGGTCAAACAACACCCTTGCTTCTGAGAAGACCATTTGCGCAGTCCGCAAAGCCCTATTGACGGAGCATTGACGCCATGCTTCCAAACCTGCGACCGTTTCCAGGATCAATATCGCGCGCCCACAGCGCATCTCGTTTGTAGAGCCCGGCTCGTCCGCAGATTCTACCATGAGCACACTGCACTTGCTTTCTGTTATGGTGATTGCATCTCAGGATGGTTATCAAGAACCTGTTTTACGCCGAGACTCGACACTTGAGCCTCCCTACTGAACCACAAAGACACACATTCTTTTCAACATCTCCGTCCCCACGGCAAATTGCATAGGCTATGCTCAACATTGGCATTTCTGTTACTTCGTTGTCCTTGCAATGAAACCTTGACAGCGGTATCAAAACTTATCAAGTTTACTATCGAAGAGCCGCTGCTTCCATGTATCGTAAGGTGAGGTTCAAACCATCTTTTTCGTTATGTTTCGGGCGATATGTATTGGAAATGAAGATTTTTGATACTCAGTTTCACGGAGATCATGAACTCACTGAACATCTTTGAAAAACAAGATCTTTTAGAGGTCATCTCCGCCAGACCGGGCAAGGGCTCACACGTGTAAGTGAAAGTCGCGCAGCTGTTCGACTGCCTGCAATCCCTGCGACGCTGACCGGCGGACTTGGATCCTGTTGTGATGACTGTGGTTACACAGCTTTTGGCAATCGCGTATCACTGCGTCGTAGCCTATCAAAGCTGACTATCAAGATTGTTCTTCAACGGGTACTTACTTGCATGGCGGTTTCAAACTCTAGGACGCTAAAACAGGTGGGTCCCAGCCTTGCATCCTCTTTCACCTTGACCGCACATTTGATAACCCCGCCCAGCAAACGTATTTCACCTCGCCAAGCTCCGACCTGTTGTGGTTACTCACCTACAACAATTTTTTCCTTCTCTCCTCTCGCACTCCTGGCCACTGACCGCAGCATCAACGCCATGGCGACACTCGCCCATGTGTTCAACCATCTGGTGTTACCACCACAAATCCCCGGAGAACAGGACGAGGACATTGAACGCTCCAGTCACGATATCCTTGTTCGTCTCATCCGCGCCACGAGCACCTTGGCCAGGCTTGCTGGCCAGAATCAGACAGCTACTTGGCAACCACTTCGCCAGTCCCTTCGCCGTTGTCAATCTCTTCACGAGCGAGGTCATCTCGAAAAGCAGTCGCTCATCTCAGAATTCAAGAATATCCAACACGATCAGCCACTCGTCCTTCACATCATAGAACAAAATGCTGCCCTCATTGTTCGACGCGACATTAGGTATGAATCGCAGTCTACCACTACCTAGCACAGCGCACAATCCGCGACTAACACATATCAGTGAAAACAACGATATCGTCATCTTCGAGGCGTTCGAGGCATCCCCGCCTTCAGCTGAGGTGCTTGCTGCGGAGGGCGCCCTCATCTGGGACTTCCCCGACTGCGCGGCCCAGATTCCATTCAGCGAGTTTCAGAAGGCATCGTTCCAAGATGCCTTGGCTGACTTCCTCGAAAAGGGTAGCATGGAGCCGTTGAAGCGTTTCCAGGCACATACCACAAAAGCCCAAACCTCCGTCGTCGAGTCGCGTGACACCGCGAGTCCGGCACTCGTGACACATCTTCTCATACCGCTGCTCGAGGTCATCGGATCTGCAGTCGACAGCAACGTTCCTCAGCTCAGGAAGCGCGTCCGCGATGATGCAAACATCAAAGCTGCAGAGTTTCCATGGCGGAGATTGCCATTTTGGCTCGTACTTCGGGTCTCCACTCAACGACAACTTCAGCTTTCTCTTGGGAACGAGGCGGGCAGAGCCTGTTATAAGTTCTTGGTTACCACTCTCCTTGCAGAGCTTCTCAACGAATGTCCTACCCAACTGGCGCCTGAACTTACGATAACCCTCCGAAGCAAGGTCTGCCGCCGCCTCGCGAAGCTCGAACAAGAAAAGGTTGACTCACCTGCCCTATACAAGCACATGTTCGCCGTCGCTGGACCGTTCTTCAAAGAGTCTATCGCGCGGGTTACAAAGGTGATTGAATCAGCCTGGGAAAAGTTCAAGCGGGAGACCACACGTCCCATTCCTACACTCCCACTCCGGGCCGATCAGCAAGCGCTCTGCCTCTCTCTCCCTAACAGCGGAGCATACCTCCACGATGTGCTGAATCTTCCTCGTGCACACAAGAAGGTCAAGCTGTCTTTAGCTTTTCCGCGATCGGTGGACAGCACAATTGAACAGGTTGAGCAGTTTACAGACATGTATTTCAAGCTAACGAAATTGGAAAAGGATATCGAGACCCATCAAATTCCTCAATTCACGACATCCTCGACGCTGCCCTCACGCTGTCTCAAGCTCGCTGAAACGATATCCGATCTGATGGGAACCGTAGGCACGGCTTATGAGTCCAATCCTGAACAGCACTCCATCCTCATCCTGAACCTCTTCACACTCTGGGTGCGGCTGGACAGGTACATGATCGAAGCCTGTCCTCTGCTTCTCAAGTATCGCCCAGTATTCTCTCCGGAGCTCTTGGACGCATTGCATCTTCCACTCATGTCAGAGATGCAGCGACTTCATGACATCCAAGTGTATCTACAAGATAGGCATACGAGGTCCAAGCATCAGACAACAATACTTTCCGAGCCCGATAAGCACAGCTTCGCAGTTGAGTATGTCGCACAGTCCAGACCAATGAAACAGCTCCTTGAACAAATACAAGAGGCTTCTAGGCTTTCACGAGAAGCAAAGAAAGCTGAGCTGGACCGATGGTGTCAAGAGTATGATGCCCATTCCTTGGGCATATCCGGCGGCACATGCGTCTGCACTTTCAATCGCGACGGTTCGCGATATGTGAGAGGATGTGACAAATGCTGGCATTGGCGAGCCAGAAATCGAATGCAGATATACGCTCACGAAGATTTCCTGCCCAAGAACACTGTGAAAGCGGCAGCCGTTGTATTCGAGTTGCGTATTCCGGCCTCCCTCGCTGCGTATCGAAACGCCACATGGAAGATCTTCGAGTTGGCATATCCTGCCAAGCCTGCGTCACGATCACCAATCAAGGTCTTGAAAGATTATGAACCGTTCCAACCATATATTCAGGAATTCGCGAGCGGCATCACTATTTCATCGACTTCCAAACCGTTTGCTGGCACCCACTACAAGGTTGCTAAGGAGAGAATGAAAGCATCGGAAGCCGATGTTCTGTATCCCAACGGCCTGACCTTCTTCTATTTCGACATGGCCTCGGACACATGGGTCAAAGATTTTAACAAGCCGTTGACCTTCCAGCATCTTTGCGGTGTACATGTCCCGCGATCGCTGGTGCATTCGGTCATGCCTGAGTCGATACACCCACCAACTGAAGTCCATGGACTATCTTCATACGAGGTTGTCGCTTCTGAAACCGAATGTCCACCAGATATCGCCATTCGAGAATTCATGGCGTATCAGCGCTTACTGTCAGGCAAGACCCGTCGATGGCTCACTATGTTGGTAGAGTTGGGCGCATCAGATGTGAACTTCAGCAACGAGAGCACGATGCATATGTTCAACCACCTCACTACGCAGGCTGGACCATCACGGAATGAGTCTGGTGTCCTTCGTGACGTTCATGTGGTTTTCAAGGAGACGTCGTTCTGCAGGCGCTTGGCGGAACAAATTAGCAATCGCCTACGGAGCATCACGTCCAGTTGGCGCGAGGTGCATTGCATGGAAGTCCTCATCACGCTTAGTCTGCGACTATTCACGTTCGCTTCGTCCAAGATGTTGGCTATGACTCTTTTGAAAGAAGCACGCGACATTACCTTGACATGGATTACGTGTCTTCGAGACGACGTAAGGAGTGCCCGAGAAGCTCATGCAGCGGAGACGGCTGCTCGATCTGCGTTCTGGGCTGCCCTGCTGTGCCGAAGGACATTTTCTACCTTTGCCGAATCAGATCAGCTAATCCCACAAGATGACTTGTCGGCTTTCGTTCAGGCCTCAATGGCTCTCCAAGAGAATCTCCTCGTCGACTTGGCCAAGCTACCACCAGTACTCAAGGCCATGTTGATTCGCGATACGAAACTGGCCTTCAACATCCAATCACAGTTACTTCAATCGATCAAGGCTTCTCCTCAGAGCATCGGTATGGCCATCAACGCATCCTGGTCAAACTCGGCAAACTCAACACGGAAGGTCTTCACTGTGTGGCAAACCTTGACTTCTCCACACGATCGATGGATTGTATCAACTATGGTTGCTACAATGGAGAGTTCAGCAAAGTCACAGGTGGTTCACTATAACTTTATTGAGGGGCACCTGCTCGTCGATGGCAAGCCCTTGGGAAAATTGCCGCGAGACATTCGAGAATCACTTGAGGTGAAGAAACTCTTCGGCAACCAATATCTCCGAACGCTTCCATCAGCTGAACACGGCATGTCCTATGTTATGACAACTCGGATGCACAACCACGAGTTTCATTTCGGGATGCGAGATGGACGAGTTATTATCCGTGCCCGTACTCGAGGTAACCTTCTAGAGTACGTTCCGCCTGCGCTCTTTTCTGGACCTAATAGTTTCGACCTGCCATTTGGCCTTGTATCCAACTGCCAGCACTGGTTGAATCTGAATATGAAATGTATCGAGGTTAGACGCAAGCCCGAAGCCTGGCAAACCCGGACAAACGATTGGATTATTGACCTTGTCGATCGTCAAGGCAAGCGGAGCGAACGTTCTACTTTGGTTGACCCTAATTCCATCTTGTTTCAACAAGTCGCCGACATCTTCCGCCACTTCGAAAATCCAAACAAGATCACGATCTTCCAGCCTATACACAAGAATGGAGCCTTGTCTGTCGAGCTACGCCATTTGGAACTATCATTTAAAGTGAACAAGCAAGGACTGCTCCAATGTCATGAACTAGGTGCAGAGATTGATCCTAACCAGGATGCTGGCACCCTATATGGATTTGAGAGTAAGATCGTACTGCGTGACATCGCAGACCCTAAGAGCCGGAGCATCATCGCTCCATGGGGAGAACTTTCTAGCAAGCGTCGTGGGATGCACATCGCCGTGCGGGCAGCTAGCTGCACTGAGTATGCGAGGTTCGGGATCGATGAGGTACTCGGACGGTTGTTATGCCCTTCGGAGCCACGACTCCTATATGCAAAAGCTCAGTTCCATGCGTTTACGTCCTTCGCTATAGCTGACCCGTTGACTGGGCGCACTGGCACCGAAGAAGCCTTACACATCTTGCAATCAGGTTGTTGTCAGCCATGGTTACCGTTGGGAGGTTCTCCGCTCAAAATCCTTGAGTCTGTCGGAAAACTTAGTCCAGCGCGAGAGTACTATCCCAAGGAGAAGAAGAACCTGCAGAACATTGGTTGGAAGGCCAGTTTGACAATGACCATCCAGCATGATGCATATGAAGGTCTGGTACACGATATACTCAACAAGTCAGAAGTACTTTCTGTCTTTGCCCCAGATCACCCAGGCCACTCAAACAACGTTCGGCTTAGTAACTACACGCCGACTCACCTTCGCAAGCGAGGCATCACTCAGCGGCGTCTCTACGAGCGCAATCTATTCGATACACACGAGATCGCCAAGGATAAGGTTTACAATTCTCGAGCCCAACAAGCCAATTCGGCACAAGCAAGGAAAGTCCATGACGTTGCAAAGCTTCTGTGTACCCAGCCATTCAACGTACACATCACTCGACAACTATCCACGGTTCTCGAAGACTGGAAACTCATAGGCGGATTCCACGCCACATCTGAGTTCATGCCCGCCAGCTTGAGCGATCTGACAGAGAAGCCTGTTGACGAGCAGTGGGGCAGTCTTGTAAACCTCTGTCGTAGTTCTGCTTCTCACGACTTGTATGGATTGATGTTCCGGCTCAGCCTCATGTCATTAAATGCCGAAACCGACCTCAATGTAATCAACGTCCTTGCAGCGTTTGCAGTGATCCCCGGATTGAAATCACTGCAACCGCCATCGTATTCCTCGTTCAACCAGTTTGAATTGAACCAGACCCCAACTGCGCAATCCCTTTTCCGAATCATTTCCGTCGATCTGCCTAACAGGCTAAACTCGACTGGCGACAAGGTACAAAAGGCGCATCAAAAGTCATGTGAGATAGAGGGAAGGCGATTAGCGCAACACTTCCTGAGTCAATGGCCTCACGAAGAACCTTTCTTGGATGGATTTGAGTCGGATATCATTGATACCGGACTTGCAACAGACCGAGTTGTTTCAGAGTGGCATCGTTTGCGCGCGAACCTGAAACTTTCGGAATATGTTATGCAGATCCAGGATGTACTAGAGCTGTACAAGGGTCCCAGGAATACATCAGCGCCAAATGTCTGGAATTTTGCACCGAGTCCCATCCGACCACTAGTCCGCGGTCCCGTTATTCCATCAATTTCCAGGGATCTCGTAGTCAAGTCCCTAATATCGCCCTTGAACACACATGCTTGCGATGAGATGGTTCCTGGTAGCCAGTCTGCTACTCTGTCCGCGAGCCGTTCAGCCTCACAGCCTCCGTCTAGGGAGATGGCTGAGCTACGAAAGATCCTTTCCTCATTCATCTTCTCGTCGAACTCCATCCGCCAAGAATACGCTCGCGACCTCGAAACAAGCCTTCTGGCTCTTGAAGAGACCAGCAATCACCTGGAGGCCCCTTACGATGCTCCGAATATTACAGTCATTGCAGGCAGTATCCAAAAGATCTGCGCCTTGCGTTCAGCTCACTTCATCCAGATTCGCAACGCTCTATCCATTGACGACGATCGTTTCCATTGGCTTGATCTTGGGAATCTCTGGCCTTTGAATACATCAATAGAGATGCTGGAGCAACTGCGCTCAAGCTCCAACCATATTTTCGGGCACCTTGTTAAGGACGCAATTGTCTCGCACGGTATCCTCCTCACAACGCTGCAGAAACTCACACGGCTCAAGCATGCACTTTATCATGCAAAACAGACTCGGGTTCAAGAAGAGCTTGGAAACGTTGGCCATGAGAATTGGGATCCTTCGGAGTTCCCTGATTGGCTTCTCCTAGAGATTGATAGTGATCTTCTGATCCGGCAAGAGCAGATTGATGTCGCACGTGCAATCATTGCGCCAAAATCAGGAGACAACACTGTGTTGCAATTGAATATGGGTAAAGGTGAGTTGAAAGTCTTGCAAGTAACATCACTATGTCTAATTGTGTCGACAGGTAAAACATCCTGTATCGTTCCTATGGCAATGGCAATTCTCGGCAACGGAAACCAACTCGCGCGTCTTATCGTACCAAAGCCACTGCTCCCCCCGACAGCCCAGATGATCCAATCTCGACTTGGGGGGCTAGTCGGTCGAGAGCTCCGGCACATACCCTTTTCACGACGTACCATGCCCAGCCCGGAGATACTTCAACTCTACAGTGATCTCCACCAAGACATGCTTCGCCGTTGTGGTGTTATGTTGAGTGCTCCGGAGCATGTCCTATCTTACAAGCTCAGTGGTCTTCAACATCTTGCCGGACCAAGCTCATCGATTGCATGCAGAATGATCAAGTTCCAGTCATGGTTGGAGTCCACGTGTCGGGACGTTCTGGACGAATCTGACGTCTCTTTGGCAGTGAAAACTCAATTAATCTACCCGAGTGGCGAGCAAACCACTGTTGATGGCCATCCACACCGCTGGCAAGTAGCACAGTCATTGCTATCACTTGTGAAAGACCATCTTCCAGAGATCCGACGCACGTTCCCGCGGAGCATCGAAATCATCAAACGCGATCATGGATACCCGATGGTATACTTTCTTCGGTCAGATGCCGAGGAAGACCTGCACCGACGGATTATCGATGAGATATCTACAGGTCAAACCGCATTCCTTCGCTTCTCAGACTCCACTCCACCTGGCTACTACGCGGAGATTGGTAAGGTCTTCACAGACACGACCCTTGACGACAACTTGTTCAGGCGCGTGACTGCACTGTTTTCCGATGAGAACGTAGCATCGAAGAAGCTACTCCTTGTTCGAGGCCTGCTGATGAACCGAATTCTTCTCCTCTGTTTGAAGAAGCGATGGAATGTGCAGTACGGTTTGCATCCGGGTAGGGATCCCATCGCAGTGCCCTTCGAAGCAAAGGGTGTGCCTTCTGAACAAGCTGAGTTTGGCCATCCCGATGCCGCAATTCTGTTCACTTGTCTGGCCTTCTACTACTCTGGCCTAGATCGACATCAACTCAACCAAGGTCTTCGCCATATTTTGGCGTCCTCCGATCCTTCCAGTGAATACGACAGATGGACGAGCACTTGCGATACTCTTCCGGAAGCCCTGTCCCACTGGAACATCATCAATGTGGACGATCAACGTCAATTCGAAGAGCTTTGGAACCATCTTCGAGTCAGTACAAGTGTGCTTGATCATTACATGAATCATTTCGTTTTCCCTGCCCACGCAAAGCAGTTCAGTATCAAGTTACAAGCTTCTGGATGGGACCTGCCTTTATTTTCGAAGTCGGACTCCAGCGACAACGTAACAACAGGCGCGATGACTACTGGATTCAGCGGAACCAATGACAACAAGATGATGCTGCCACTCACCATTCGACAAGACGACCTCCCGAGCTTGCATCAGACCAACGCAGAAGTCCTAACCTACCTGTTACAAACTCGAAACCGAAGCTACTACCTCGCGGCTCAAGGGGGGAAGCGTTTGTCGGAGACGCAACTCTTGAATCAGCTAAGTATGAAAGATATTCGTGTACTCATCGACGCCGGCGCATACATTCTCGAAATGGACAACGAAGCTCTTGTAACGGCATGGCTAGCTATCGACACACAACGACCGGCAGCTGTGTTCTTCGGGGCCGACAACAGGGCCAAGGTTCGTTATCGTGGAATGAAAGACTCAGTGCCATTGCTGGCCACACCCTTTGCCGATAGTTTGGACGGATGTCTTGTCTATTTCGATCAGGCGCACACGCGTGGAGTAGATTTGAAGTTACCCCAAAATGCCCATGGTGCATTGACGCTTGCCCCTGGACAAACAAAAGATCACACAGTTCAAGGTAACGATACATTTTCGGCGTGTAAGATCTCAATACTGACAACATTTGCAGCTGCCATGCGCCTCCGACAACTCGCGACTACCCAATCCCTGTCCTTCTTCGCCTTTCCCGAAACCCACCAATCCATCCTTGACGTCTGCAAGATGACAGACAAAGACCCCATCAACTCATCTCACGTCGTGCGCTGGCTTTTAGAACAGACCTGCTGCGCGAACGAGCAGCTCCAAAATCTTTACATCTCCCAGGGCGCCGATTTCTGTAACCGCAAGATGGCGGAATGGGAGAACGCGGAATTTCTCTCTAATGTCAAAGATAGAGATGCGTATATCAAGGCCCTTCAACATCCTGAGCATCAGACACTTGAGCAGCTATACGGAAGCCGTGCAAGCGATGCAAACTGTCTTCCTCCGCCCCAAACTCTGTTTCCGCAAATCCAGGCTTTTACGGACGAGCTCAATAATCGACGTCACAGCACCGCCGTTAATCCCAACGCTATGCACTCGTTCGCGCTTGAGGAGGTAGAACAGGAGCGCGAAGTCGAGTTCCAAGTTGAGGAAGTGCGTGAAGTGCAACAGCCTGTGCATTACGAAGCTCTCACATTTCCAGGTGTTCACCCCAGCATCTCCGACTTCGTTCACACAGGCATTCTGGGCGGAGGAGAGGGATATGAACACGTGTTTACCGCCGTGTCACGCACCTCGGTGGGCCAGAGGTTTAGTGTTGCGGAGTCAGAGTCACGATTGTTTGTTTCAGCAGAGTTCATGAGGACGATTGTGACAGAGAAGAATGGTGCCATGGACAATTTCTTGGTAAGTCAACTTCCCAACTCCATCCTATACCAAACGATATACTAACAATTCACCCAGCGTCCTGTTGAGTGGATTCTCTACAGCCCCAGCACCTCCACAGCCTTGATCCTTATCGCCGAAGAAGCCGAACTCCTGATCCCCGAGCTCCGCGACCAAGAAGCCCCCGCAAAAGTCCACCTCCTCACGTACTCGGCGCCTATCACGAAGAAGATGCTACACTTCAGTGCCCTGACGTACTACGCTATGCCTGTGCTTCCGGATGGCCATGCCATCCCGCACTGGCTCACGATTGAGCTTGGCGTCTTTGCAGGGCGGTTGTATATGGACTTCGAGGAGTACGCAAGGCTGGAGAGATATGTCAAGAGCAACGGTGATGGGAAGCGATCGGGTGCGTCAGCAATGAAAGAGGCTAGCTTCCTCCTCGAGTGGCTATCCCTGCGTCGAAAAGGTCAGGACATCATGCACACACCAGCTGGGTATGTGTGCCAAGGTCGCGTTCTGGATTGCGGACATGCTTTCTTCGTCAAGCAGCGTGTTTATGATAAGGGTGTTCTGAACCCGTATCGCGTTAATGAGATTGTTGACAGTGTTGATGCAGAGGAGGTGGATGAAGACGATGTGTGGCATGGTAGTGGTGGGGACGAGCTGGAGTGAAGTTCTTGCTGGGGGTTATTCTGGCACATAATCCTGTCAACTATCGCTTCGTGCTCGCTAAATATTTCCGCTTTTCTCCTTGTGAAGAATGATCATGTGCGGTAGAGTAGATGCATGTATTCTACTTCCTTACCTTCTTAGTCGTTCACGCTGTACTCTCTTCTCTCTGCCATGTTGCTGGTATTATCACTTGCAAATTGCACTTTGATCTAAGTATCAGATCCAGCTGTCTTCGGAGTGATGTTCATGATTAATGGCTCGAAAACCCGAGTTCTGGCAAGCAGTTAAGGCCAGGTATTCTGCACCTTCAAATCGGAAGTCGACGGGAGACTCTATTTTATATTATCATGACTTTTTCAAGCGCTATAAGAAAACTTAGTTGGTTCTACCAGTAAAGAGCGCTGTAGCCATTTCCTTGAATGGCATCAACGCCGGAACTTAGGGCTGTGGGTGCACTTGGTGTCTAGTTGTGTACCTGCACGGAAAAGAGAATGACATACAGAAAATGGTAGAGCTAGAGAATTCCGAAGTTTCAACCTACACTATACTTTGATATCAAAGACTTCTTGTACACGGTCATGGATGATGCTATCCTCACCTAGTCTACCTGACCCTGAGAGGATCTCGAGCTGAATGGAGTATTGACAACCATGAGTCAGCATTCTAAGACGTGACGATGGTTGAACATGATTTTATGCCCCAGCTTTCTGATCACTGTGCCCAAAAGTTCGACCTTACGATTACTCATTCAATCACTATTTCCACCATCTCAATCACGCATTTCGGGTGCTCTGTTTGAGAATGTGTTAATAAGAGCAAGATATCCAATTCGGGGTGTAGCATCTCGTTTCAATGTGCAGTCTCTTCGAAAAAGTCTCAGGATCAAGGTACACGTTCCGGCCCGCGGGAAGTCAATATGAGAATACATCGAACAACGCTAACCCCGATCTGGAATGTTGCCGAGGTACTCGCTCCACAAGCAAATTTATTATTGTTAGCCTCGTGCCCCCTACTAGCGTCATTCCAAACGGCTGAGCAGCAATGCCTCGCGTCGCAAGCCGAAGTCATCACCAGCAACACGCCAGTTAGCCCAATAACATCTGTCACCTCTATACGCAAACTTCAACCGCGCTTCCTACAACTAATCTCGACATGTAATCTACACGCACATGTTGATGTCTAGACCCCTCGCTTACGATTACGCACATGTCCATCGTTGGATGCGCCATTTTACACTCACGACCTGGACGCACATGGCATGCACAGTTACACTGACATCGCCAGCGAAACTCGTATCGAGACACGTCGTTGACCAGCATTCCGCCATTCCTCCTATCCTCCCACTACGCGTATTTCCTGAATGGAGGCTGAGCCGCGATACGAAGTCCTCCTGGTCCAAAGAGCGCGGGTAAAGTCTAGCAAGAAGACTCTAATACCGTTGTCGATTTGCAGGCGTATGTGCTTATCACGAGACGTTTATATCACCGTTGGGACGCAGGACAGGGCTTCGACGTGTAGCCGACTTGACGATCGATGCGCAGAAGGACATGGACATAGACATGGATCGAACGTGCGGCACGATGGCGATGGCGGAAATGAATGCATACTGCTTCTCGAAGAGCTGCGCGGACTGTAAGCCGCTTTAACATGCGTAGGGGCTGGCGCTCTTCCCATATCGTCGGTGTCAGCCCTCGGCGGCGACTGACCCTGGAGACACAGACCAAGACCTCCAAGTGTATACCCAGACGAGAGATGAAGTGGTGAGCCGGTAGCCCTACTGTGACGAAAACGAGTTGTTGACAAGAACGTGCGCATTGGGTTAAACACCGGCATAATTGCGAGAACGAGCAACCAACCAGCCAGCCGCTGTTTGGCGCACTCGTGCACACACCATACCCGGCTCATTCATGAACGCCCGGATTGATCGACAACCGCTTCAGGTTGGAGCACATAGATATGGATGTGTGTTTCATGATGTCAGGATGTCCCTTCAACAGTTACTGCAGACTCAGTCGTGGGCAAGGAGCTGGGCAGAGACGTAGTGCTGGATATTGACAAGTGCGCGCTCGACGACTCATGTTCAGAGATGGACACAAACCACAGCAAGATCAAGAGCCGAACCAATCTTCACCTATGACTCTTCTATCGCTTACTTGAATGACGTTCGATCTGAACCGCCCGCTTTTTCGGAGATTGTCCAAGTAAATGAGCCATGGCTGGCCGTTGTGGGGTCACTACTAGCGACTTGGGAAGCAGCGCGTTGAGCTTATTACCACTTGGTACTTGAGGCAGAAAGTCATCTCGTTCATCATTTATATTTTTCTCCTTCCACGGCTCATTCTGCACGGTGGGCATGTTACAGAATTCCCTACCACGCATGTGTGTTTCTCAGCGTCTGCTCTCTGGAATACATCGTGTCGCCAAGGCTATTTTGCTTGTAATAACAACTGACTGGTAGTTGAAAGCTCCCTCGGGATATCTAGTCTCACCTCCTGGGCACGGTTGTTCTACAGCATCGCCTTTCTTTTCCCGCGAACCTCCCCTCCCCAAATCTACTCGCTTTCACTCTCGCTCGAGCACTCACCTGGCAAGGCTCAGATCCGCACCCTGTAGATGTATCTGGGCTGTCCGAGTACGATCCCAGGTATCATCCAGCCGCAAACATGCCGAGGGGCCTTGCCCTTTACCCCATCCCCATGCCTATGAGCTTACGCAGGATGTCAGGCAAGGGGGTAGAACCGCACGATACTATGCCTTCATATTTATCTGCCGCAGGATCCTGGTAATATCGTCAACTGTGTATGTGCAATCTCTGATACTTTCCCAATGCAATCCATCAGCCAACGAATCCAAGTCCGTTAATACGAAGCTGTGTAGCAAGGTCTTCATAGCTACATGTCCGCGCGAGTCCTACCTTCATGTCGACAGAACGAAAGTGGAATGGTTGCAAGGGCCGCCTGTAATACACTTCAGAATGCTATGTTGCGAGCGAGAATCCACGACAAGCTTTTTGAGGTTATAAAGTGTTGCTTTAATTGTTTAGATTTACAGGATAGTATCTGCAAATTAACATGCTCTGCTATTGTGATTTGTGGAATCGTGAGTAATGGGCTGGGATGCTAGTCTGAGGAGCATATCAGTTGTGGCTTATTGGACACAAGCTTCGCCTCCTGATTTCCATCAAGCTCATTTCATACTCCAACGGTAGATGTGGTTGTCAAGACTGATGAAAATGACAAGGGATATTCTCGGCAATCACATCGTGGTGCATTGCACATGGCGCAGTTACGCATCGCAAAAGGTGTGTCTAGGGGCGATCGAAATCAAAGTGGGGCGGGATTAGTTCATTGCCAGTTATTTCGAGTCTAACAGCGGCTAAACTTCTACACGCCTGCTGGATCGTGCATTTTGCAGCTACTCGACCTCAACTACACAGTTTTCGAGATACTGAGGTTGCGCGTAGGCTACTGGCGAAACATTTGTATCGATACAACTCCTACGACATGGCGCCCTGAGCGCACACAACCGTAACGCGTCTTCTGTAGTGCCTTGAAACGACCATCTCGCGCACGATGCTACACACCAACAGCTGCCTAAGACGGAAATGGTCGCCGAATACACAATGCCACGCCGGTACAGGTAATATGCCAATAAGCTGAAACGAATATCTCCCCTACACGTAGGCTATAGCAGCAGTACGCGACTTTACTGCGCTTCCCATCCACACGCTCGACGTTAACCTTGGCTCTCAACTCGTCACCTATACCGCTGTAGCGATCTACAATTTAGGGTTTCTCGTGAAGAATATGGTATGTTACGTGCGTAGAAGAGGAATGGCGGCTACACTTTGGTATAGGGGTGATACAGATTGTAACGTTCACGAGCAAGACTTTTGAGTTGGGTGGTCTAACCCGCAGAATTGAGGAGGGCATTATCGCTGACATAATAGCCGATCTTGCCACGACGATGCTGCGCCTTGCTGATTTTAGTTAATCAGGCAATGGTCTTTGGCCTGTAAGGCTCCCGTAGAGATTACACTAGCTGTTTATTAGATAAGCAGTTCTTGAGTAACCCAGAAGTTGAGAATTTTCGGACTCTGGCCCGAGCCTTTAGTGGAGTGTCGAATCCATGAGATCAGTCCGCTTATGAAAAATGTGTCTGTGCCCTGTTAACTTTGAGTATTTTGGGGGTGTGGGTTTCACGAGTGCGCTGGCAGTGGACCCACGAAGTTTGTCTTTGCGGTGTCGATCTCAGAAACGTTATTCATCAGCGATAGGCTGCATTGATATTTCTTTTCCTAACAATCAACTTTACGGAAGACACGTCCCACGCTCCGATATCAGTCTGTTTAGTTATTTGCAACAATGGGCACGACTAAAATTACGATCCCTTCTCTGCCCCTCGAGATAGTGCAGCAGATAGCAGATTGTGTTGAAATAGTGCATCGACCTAGCCTTTTCGCCTTCAGCCTAGCTAGCAGGGCTTGCCACAGGGCTGCAGCGTTTCTCGTTTTTCGGAAACTCAGTATCACGATCCATAATCGTGAAGGATTGCGGCGCGACGCTGATAGACTTGTTGAGACTCTCTTCCGTGCGGATTCCGCTCGTCAGGTCCAAAACATCACTATCAAAGGGGCTCTACGCCTCAACACCAAAAGGACAGACATATATAACCCTGATGAGTGTTGGCTTAGACGATCTGGCCTTGCCGAAATACTGGTTGACGAAGAACTCATGGACAACTCCCGCCGATATGTAGTCTACGATGAACGCGTCATTGAAGAGTCTTCTGAAGAAGACATGGCATGGGCTCCTATTGTGAGCCTGCTACAAGCGCTACCTGGTCTGAGAGACCTAGTCTATGACTGCCAAAGTCAACTTCCGCCAAGTCTTCTAAGGGCTCTCCACGAGCAGCATCCTCTTTGCAGACTTCATCATCTCACGTTCCGGTTCCGAACCTTATTGTGGGGAGTTCCTTATCCCTACGAGATGGAGCTTGCCACGTCTCCATCTCTGTACAGAGTGAGAGTTACATGCACCTATCAAGATTCAGACGGCGACTTTGATTTCAATCGGGACGCCGTAATGGAGCTTGCCGCTGGGCTTGCTCCCAATCTCAAGGAGGTCACTATTTTGGATCTCAACCCATATCTTTCCTCCAGTCAACGTAGCGTGCGAAAGCCGTCGTGGCAAGGTCTTCCAGGCTGCATCGGCGAGGGAACTGGGTCCTTGACATCACTGTCACTCAAAGGATTCGAAGGTTTCATAAGGCCAGCCCAGCTACAGAGCTGGGCTAAGCATACGGACTTTGCTCACCTGCAGCACCTCGTCCTTGGGGGGCTAAGTTTAATTTTTCCATGTGGACTCAGTGGTGAGACAATGGAATGGATTGCTCGAAACCTTTCATTTCCCTACCTCAAAACGCTCGTTGTTTATCTTACCCGCGACGACACTTTCATCGAAAGACCTCACTACAATGAGAACGCAATATCTTTTTTTCAGGCTATCAACTCTCTTGAGGAGCTGTCTATTAATGGGCCGATGGAGCCACAGATTATAGACGCTGTCTTGAACCATTATGGACCGACACTCAAGAAACTTAGGTTCAACCCAATGGAACATATGTCAGTCATCAGTAATGGTCGCGATCGACGAGAGATTCCTATGGAATTCACCAAGGATCGAATAGTGCAAATACAAGCTCAGTGTCCAGTATTAGAAGAGCTCGCGATTCCAGTCATGCGCAATAAGTCGAGTGCGTCCGAGACTGAAATCTACAAATGCTTTGGCAAAATGAAAAGTCTGCGATTTCTTTTCCTCACTCTGGATTGTGCAAACTGGCGGATTGGGCGCGACCCGACATACGACCCCTGCTTTAATGAGGGGGATCAAGAGCTTGCTTGGATCCATACAAAAAACGTCAAGAGGGGCAACGTGAGAGAAGCATTAATCAATAGCGCAGTAGATGAGACGCTGGCTCGCTCAATCTGGGAGATAATTGCCGAGAACAAGACAGGCAGACGGCTAGAGCAACTTAAGCTGTGGACGAAGAATGGTGGTAATTTCGCCTCAACCGCGTCCACATACGCTATTAGCACTGCCGCCAAGAGTATGAGTCGGTCGTGGCTGATTAAGCGCCTTCCGCGCGATGATACGGAAGATATCGCTGTGAAGGAACTGGGGCAGTGCGCAAGGGAAACTCACGAACGGGAATCTAGTAAGAAGTTGGAATGTGTGGTTGAACGAATATACCATTCTATCTGGCCACGTAAAAAAGATAGCAAAAATTGGCGGGATGACTGGTCTAGTTTTCCCCTTGAGAGCTAGGATTTCCATAAATTCTATCCTCATTGTAGTAGGATTGTGGACTACAGCTATCAAATACATCAGATGCTCCATGTATGTAGTTATTAATTCCTCGAGAGTAAACTTTCCGCCACTACTTTGGTATAAAAGCGGCATTTGTCCAAAACGCAGTCGCGAGGCTACGGATGCAGACATTCGGAATACCGTTAACTACTGACTACCAGCATCGCATCCTAGATCACCAGATGGTGCTTGTTACAATGTCCAACTCCGCTGGACTACTCGTGAGCCTCGCCCTGATGGATCTTCCAGATAACATCCTATCAGTTTTGTGCGACCATTTCAACCCCTTCTACTCTTGAGCAGCGGACGGCTTTCGCGGCACCTATCAGAGAGCGAAGAGCTGGATCAAGAATACATATCGTCGTCATATGGCCAGATCGGAGAGTAACATTGTTGAGAACTTCGTTCTCTTTGGATTCAGACCTACCCTCACAGTCCGGTCCGCCTCGCTGAAAACCCCAAACCTCTGTTTGATCAAGATAACGCTCTCCGTTAGCGATGACTTCTTGAAAGTTGCTCGTATGAAAGGAGGCTTGGGATAGAGCACTTCTCGACGAGCGAACATGGGCACCTTCCAGGTGTTGATGAGTACGCATCTTCGACAGCTCGAGATTCACTTGTACGCCACTATAGTTGCAGGCACTAGCGACATGGTGCCTTGTAGCATGTCCCTGATGAGCAATAATGTTGAAGTCATGTCGGATCAAACATGGGTCGGTCTTCACGACATTGAAGGGTGTGTTGGTGAGTGCGCCAAGTCGACAGCAGGCAAGTAGTCTGGATACTGTACGAGGACGAGGTCAGCGCGGCCATTGCGCAATTAGAATGACAGACCAGGGTGTAGCAGTCGTGAGGGCGAGGAGGCTAACGAGGGCGAGGACGGGGTGGTGGAATTGAGGAATTGGAGATGTTGAGCTAGAGGATTTCTATCGCTATTTAGTCAGGGTATGCATGCAGATGTCGTAGTAGACACGATGTGATTGAGACCGTCTCAGGAAACACCGGCAAATGCAGATTCAAACCCACACATTCCCACCTAAACCTACCACCAAAACCCATCACAACACCGGAACCGTCTCCCGCGGAGGAAGTACCTCATGCACCAACATTAACAGCTCTCTACCTTACCTTCTCTCGCTATTCAATTCCATCGCCTCCTTTGTCCACTCATTCCCATGTGTAACCGCCCAAACAAGTTCTACAATACCCTGCCATGTCTCCATCACTTTCTAAAAAACCCTCTACACTTCCGTCGCCACCCTATTGACCCTTTTATCCGCTCTTCCAGCTCCTCCGCCCAACTACGCACATCCGGCCAGACACGTCTGCCAGCAGATACATACTCTCTCCCTTCTCTTTGCAGTTGGGAAGGCTGTGGAATGTTGTTTTGACACCTGTGAGAAATGCCTCGGTATAGTATGTAATGAGGTCTCCCATGACGGTTCATGAGCATTTGGAGTGAACTTGCTGCTATACTGCCTACGAGTCCCTCCGCAGCTTGCATCTGTAACGTATTATGGCAGATCGGCGAGAACATCAGGTGTAGAGGTGAGCGTGATGTATGAGGCTGGCGGGCGAATTATAGTTTTGATGAGCAGGATGATGGGCAGCGCCATATGCGGGCTGGTGGAGTCGGCGACGTATTGGACGATAATGGGCGAGATTTAGGAAGCTCGGGATAGCGGCAAAGACCACCCGAACGAGAAAGAGACCCCGCACGATGAGGGACGGCGAGGAGGCACAATGTCAGGCACTGGCATTGTATAGCTTGGGAGACAATGGTTGAGGCGAGGCGTCTTGTAATTGTTAACAATGATTTGGTTAGAGATACTCTGTGTTGCGTTTAGTGCTCCACGACTTGTTTCGCAGACTCCCGTAGTGACTATAGCAAATCCTGTGTGCACTCGCATTCGCAAGCGTACTCTTTTCACTCCTCTACTTAAGCTTCCACATCTTCATGTGTCGCGGTCGCACATTTGAAGCAAGACAGAAACTGCCCGCGCTTTACAAACATTGAGAATTAGCTCTGGTTGATCGTTATTATCCACTGTTTCGCAAATTTGCTCTGGATGGGCCCCGTGATCTCGAGATTGAGAAACTGTGTGGGTTCCTGAGATATCGCACATCTTGTGGAGAGGATACGCCATGTGACAAAGCCCAAGACCTGAGTGGACTGAAACCATCAACGTATCAGATATGTAGTCGCAGGCGGCTGGGATCTCTACAGGAGGGGGCGTCGAAATCAATTGTCTTGGGGCGAAAATAAGCAAGATGGATGGAAGACATTGGCCGTGATGGGCAATTGAGGCTCGTGCAAAATCGGACATAGTAATTACGTTTGCCAGTTTGAGGCATGGCGTGGAAAGGGCCGACCGTAACAAGGGTTTGTAGCATTCGCTTATCATTATCCCATCTCCAACACTCACCAGATGCTACGCTCATGAAGCTTATTCTGAAGTAGGTATCTATGATATATGAACCTACAAGATCTGCGAATTACCATTAACTAAGCGTCACGTGCTTGCTTTATTCACATCTGAAGGGTGTAAATGGCAGGGACTGGTGTTGTCGCCGTAATGAAAGGATATCGGTTGTCGGTTTATATTAGAACTGTTCTGGGAGACACGTAAGAATCATAACTTGGGAAAAGTTTCCACTAGTAATAAACTATCCTGATTTCGTTGTCCAGAATGACGTGCTAAGCATCGGAGGTCTATGTCTTACGCAGGGCTCAACGAAGAATTTCTAATATGAGTCCTGAGTACTGCAAGTCAAGCATTAATAACAAAAGGAAGACGCATCCTCTTGTCAAGCCTCTAGATTCTTTCGCACTCACAGACATTGTTGTTGCAATTCGTCACGCGATAATGAGCGCTCTGCAAGCCCGCAGACCGAGCCGGTTGAGATGCCTTGCCAGTCCAGAGAAAGGCGCAAGCGACCGAATAAGATTTCCCGACTTCCATGCATTGAAAATGACTCAGAATGCAGGCCTGATGTTTAAAGTGGGGGAGTCTCCGCTCATCAAGTGGGCCTCGGCAGTTAGCCAGCAAAAAAAATGACATCGTCAGTCGCGGCTCACCCACCCTCCACACAACACCAAAATGAAGACGGCCCAACGACTCCAAAAACGTACCTCTCGAGCGGGGAATCGAACCCCGGCCTCCTGCGAACTGTCTGATGACAAGCAGAAATACTGACCACTATACGACCCGAGATGTGGCGATTGATGAGGCTTGAACGAAATTGACAATACTCAACGTACTTTTTTTGGCTAAGAAATGCACCGCTATGAGATGGAGTAAGCCGATGAGATTCAACACCCTGTTACGAAGAGTTAGGGTACTTTAGAGCTTAGGCATTTGTCAGCTATGTTTCGGGGACCTCGTTGTATGGGCAGAGTTTTTGGATCTTTAATTGAAGCTTTGGGCCGAGTAAGGTTCCTGGCTTGACATGTTATATTAAAGCTCAATCGGGTAGTGGGCCGAGCCAATGTAAATGTATATAAGCTTGGTAACAGTTCAAACACCGAATAACTAATCGTACAGACTTGGTTGATTCTCCCGAACGTAAGGGAATGCTCGCCAGCACATTCGCGAAGGTAGGGAGGATCCCAGTCTCCGTTTTGTTCAATACTCAACATGAAAGTGACAGAGCTTTGCATGTAGCTAATAATTTGCCTCAAAGCACTGCCTATACAACCAACCTTATCACGCGGACCAAAGCTTTTTGAGTAAGTTGAGTCTTGACTAGTACACCCCAGCCACCCCCTTGGACGATGCATGAACCAATGGCGTGCTAGGAAAGTCACCTAGAGCTACCAGAACAAGTTCGAGCCTGATTATACATCTATCAAAAGCAGTAACTTAGGATCAGCGGTACTACAACGTATATACAGCCGAGACTGTGGCTGAGATGTCTTGATGTAACCTCCATATCGAAACCTCAGCTCGTGCCCAGTCTTGCGATGTTGAGTGTTTCAGTCCGTCGCTTCCCATCCGCGAATGCCTACGTCTGTACTTGCTGCAATAGCTGCCTATTGGTACAAGTAGCGAGGTGGGCGAAGAAGAAAGAATATTGGAAAAGAGAAAGCTAAAAGGAAGCCTAAGCGTAAAGTGGAGAAATGGAGGCTTACACGTAGATCGACGGGTTGGATATGTTCATCTATTTTTTCATTAAGGAACATCGCATTTTCTCTGGCGGAAACTTGTAGTTACTGGGTATAAATGTACATTGCAAACACAGACATGGTGGAACTCCAGTGCGGGACATGTCACCATGATTCGGAGCTCAGCCTTGAACCTGCACTCCAATACGCAGTCAAAGAGCTTCCAGTTCGTTGAATCCTTGCGGCGGATCCAAAGTTCATACACCCACGTTCGAAACCCTCACGTTTTGGTCCAACTGTCTGGCTGCATAGACGTGCGACAAACTATGCGCCGGTACCTGCGGTACACGAGTATCTCCACCTCTCCATCTTCCGGCCCGGCAGCGCATGCACAACGATATTCGCATGCTTATGAATGGCCCCCATGTCTGCAAGACAACCGGTAACGAACATCGGCCATACTTACCTATTCTTCAACGCAGCTTCGCACTTCCCAAGCCCGTTCCACGCCACCCTCCGTAGGTGCCCAGCCTGCTCTTCCCTCGGTACCTAGACCATAGACTTCGAGTCTAGATCGCCTTCAGTCAAGTTTGGCTCGACTGCCGTCGCACGGGTACTTCGAAGCTTTTGAGGTGCGACATGCAGTTGACGTAATTTGCGAGCTTATCAGCTCCCAGCAAAATAGCATGCGCACGAAGCAGAATCTCACTGCACTGATTCTCCGATCTCATCATCCGCGTCAGCACGTATCTCCGCGCTAACGTTCTGCAGCACTCATTCGCTGAGATCGTAATGGAACACGCAGCGTGTCGCAGTTTGCGAGCCTTTGTAGTAGTTGCAGGATGTCTCTCAACTACCTATTAATCAAGTTCCGCAAGTTGGGGAAAAGAGGCATGGCGTCTCGCAGTCGCGGATCACGTACACCGCCGCGTTATATGCCAACGCGATACCACTTTGAATCAACAATACATTGCGCAATCAGCCATTTTGGGATTACGTGCGCTGAGGAGAGTTGTGATGTAGATGTGGACGGGTTCGAGATAGTGTGCGGAAAGGCGACAGAGAGTGTGAGACAGACCTCGCAGACGAGGTGACCTGTTGGTGTATGAATGCTTGCTGGGAAGTGGGAATGAAGTACACCGAGACGTATCGCACGGGAAAGACACGCGGGAGAAGAGCGGAATGGGCTTAAAACAGACCACCCAGTCATCCTTGTCAATTTCAGGTCCTGATGTAGGGAACTGATGGGCGTAATGTCCACAGATGGGGCGTATTTCGCCGTTGTAGGTGTCAATGGTGTAGTTGTTTATCAAGTGCCATGCCGAAGTCGGGCGTTCAGCAAATGAAGCATCATGACTTCCGACAGTAGATTCGAGGGTAGTGTTGATCGTGAAATGCTCGACACACGACTCGTTGTGATAGTGCTCGTTGCCATGGGCATCCTGCTGCGGTTCCAGAATTTGCCTCTGCAACCGTCAGATAATACCTTGATTCGGTCTGGGTTAGCAACTCACCGATAGCGGGGGTGGAGAATTGCAGCAACTCTTCGCGGGAATTACAGCGGGATAATTCGCGTGCCACTTCTTATGATGGCGGTCATAGCCCGCGAGGTCGCCGCTGCCGTTCCCCTCGACAAGGCTATCCAGCGCCGGTGGTCTCCGTATATCGTTCGCAACGTGCACGACATTACCGCCAAGAATGTTTCGTAGTACACCGCAGACACTTAGTCAATGTGGATGCGGATGGAGTGTTGTAAATCTACATTCGAGGCAGTGCAGCCGCCGTTGTGTTATGGGTGAGGTGATGGGCGCGCAGGCTCGAACCGGAGCGCGTGCATGTGGAGACATGATGGAGAAGACGGTGGGCGTATTCAACGACGTAAAATGGCGTAACGGGGCGTGGTGAGGGTGGGCATGGAGGTGGGCGCGCTTTCCGTCGTGTTCTGGCTGTTGCGCGCGCCAAGCCCGTCGTGAGCTGGTCAGTCGACAGGCCGGAGACCGCAGGGCCAACCGAATGATGTGACTGCAGAGAATGAAGGCGCGCATATCTTCTGCGGCAGGGTCGAGTCGGGCAAAGAGTAGACTTCTGTATGAAATACAGTCTGCCTGTGTAATCAGCAAGCGCGAGTTAGTGATATTGAGGAAGAGATGAGATCGGGCGAAGTGAGCGCGCGAATTGGAGAAACTGAGAATACACAGCAGACACGTGTGCAAATGTAATGGTGAATCTACTCGGAAGTAGGCTGACAGCAGAACCTAATAAAGATAGAAATGTAGTGCTATGAAAGTTATACAGCACAAACAGAAAGATTGAAGAGAGCCGTTGGAAAATAAAGAAACTGTACAATCCACTATTACATGACGTATAACTTCATATCTGGGCGTCAGAAGATCAGACTCTTGTGTCAAGAGGATGAGTTAGCGGCGTTGGAAAGAAAAACACAACTAAGAGAATTGAAAGACCGCTATGCTTCCCTGCCTTTCGAAGTCTTCTCAGCTTTACGTTAAACCAAGTCATTGTCTTATTTCCCTCTGCAACCTGTGCACAGCGTGCAAACCCACATTAGGACCTGCAAGGTTTGTGCACTTTTAAGAAGAATGGTACAACATTAAGTCTCGACAGTTATGAAATGGCGACGTGGTATTACCAAATTGAGAGCCGCTTAAATAAGCGGTAACCCCGTTCGGAGTTCTCGGACTGTTCAAAATCATCGCGTTGGACAAGTCGTAAATCTTTGAGCAAGGAAACAGGGGAAGGAACGCAATAAAATGGTTGAGCATGAAATAATTGGAATAGACGATTGCGTTTGGCCGTAGTGAACGGGTTTGGAAGACCGGTTACAGCAGACCAAGGTGCTTAAAGATGAGACGAGACACGATGCGAAACCAACGACTAAACAAGTGTTATAGCTCTGGTCCAATAGACCTTTTCTAACGTATGATTGCTTGGGATCACGACTGTAAGAAGGCACAACTCGTGTAAGCGCAAAAACATAACTTGAGGAATAGGACTTATTAGCTATCTATCGCGGAGATCCTTCGCGCTCTTTGAAAGACGAGGACTCCCTCTTTTTGAAAGTTGAGGGGTTTTCTTGTTTTCGCTGGATTGATGGCACTCTACGCCGTTATGAGAACAAAGACTTGCCTTGCCCTCCTGAGGATGACTACTTACCTCGCCCTCATGAAGATGATGACTCGACTTACACAGGGAATGGCCAGTCGCAGATGTCCAGTTTGACTTACCCAGAGACCCAAACATATCCAAAAATCCAGACTCTTTGAGAGACGTTGCATGACGATTACACCAAAACCATAAACAGGCTTGCATTTAAGATGAAAGCTGCCGTTAGCAAAACACAATGGTGGTGAGAACTGCCTGTAAGGCTATCGTGAGTTCCTCGGGCATCTCAAACGCAGTGACCTTTGAAAAGGACAACGACTAGAGCTTCTCAATGACCGCTACGTATTGAAGATAGCAACTTTCAGTTCCGGATACTATAGACAAAGGTCTGTTGCACTTGCTAGAGGTGGCTTTGAGATTATAGCGATACTTGACAAAGGAAAGGTCAGTGTCGGGTCGTAGCATCAGTCATGTGGACGGCTTGCACGTTCGGGAATTTCGTATCTGCGAGTGACTTAGGCGCATAGAGTGGTACGAAAACGGCTTGCCAGTAATCGATAGCGGCCTGGGCGGTCCGGCCCTCCCATCTCCAGAATCTCTTGTCGTCCATGAAGGGATCGTACGGATTTGGAGGCGGTGCAGTGTCGTCGGCGACGTTGGCGGTAGATGCAATGTCGGCGGAGAATATGTCGCCATCGGGAGGCGTTTCATTGGGGTCTGGGAGGTGTGACGACTGTAGAAAGAGTTTCCAGACGTGCTTGTAACCTGCCGGTTTCTCATCGGGTGTGGGGTTTCCGCCGGGCGATGCTTCGACGGGTGATGCTTCAACAGGCAGTGATTTGACAGGCGGTGCTTCGAGTCTGGCGCGCTTGGGGAATTGGGTGGAGGCGTCTCCAGTGTTGGCGTTGATGCTGGCTTCGGTGTATTTTCGCTTTCGCAGTTCGGCGCTGTCTGGTAAAGCGGTGAGAGTCGGCAGGGGCGATAGCATGCCCGTGGCAGTGTGGGCGTTCGTATGGGCGTCGACATTGGTTGATGGAGACGCAGCTTGAGGTGGAGGTCCTGCGGGTGGATGAGATAGACCTGGCGAGCGCGTGTTAGATGGAGATGGCAAGGGTGTATGAAGTGGAGTTGGTGGGGATGCCTCTATACCCTCGTCATGTGTAACAGCAACACTCCGAGCAAACTTGCCATTACCGTCCATATACAAAGCCTGGAGCGCCCTCAACTCGTCCTGGACATGGCGTGGAAACCCTCGTGGTTTCATTATCAGGCACGCAGCGCTCATAGCCCGGTACAACATGGCCATGGGATCCCCGGCCCATTGCCTAACGAGATTCCTTCCTGGCTGAACACCATAGGGTCCAAGGAAAGCCACGTCCATGTAGCACATGTACTGGCCGCCCTTGTCTGGGTCTAGCGTCTCATCGTAGCGCTGACAGTATTCGGCGTACGTAATCGCGTTGGGAGGAATTCGGTGGCCTTTGGCGCGTACTTGAGCCTTCTTCTCGGCCTGGGTGAAGAATTCGAGGTACTTGGGCACAATGAGGAGCCGTGGCTTCCTGGCAGCATGTTTGTTAGTGACTGCTCTACAGGATGCCAACACGCTGCAGCATACCAGGGTCGATCGTAGGCCTTGTGACAGTTTGGGCAAAGATTTATGAAATTCTCCGCATCGCCCTGGCTCGCCAGGTTGACGAGGTTCGCGGCTTTGTAGTCGTCGAAGTTATCATCTGCCGGTGCAAAGACATGGGCTGCGTATACAATGGTTCCCTCGCAATGCATGCACACACGCCCGTACAGTCTCTTGATCTCTTTTATAATCGAATTGCTGGATGACGTTTCCAACTTGCTTCGTTTCGTGCATGGGCGACTCATGCTATCGTCGGTGTTGCGTTTCTGAAATAGAGGGCCCATGGAAGAATGCGGAGAGTCGCTGTTCGTTGAACAGAGCAGGGTCTCGTCGTGACCAGCAGATCAGATGACTAAATGGATAGCCATCAATCTGACGACACGTGGCGCTTGATGCTGCCAGGATCCAACCGAGTGTTGGTGGTGGTGTTGGTGGCAGTGATGTTGGTAGCAGTGATGTTGGTAGCAGTGATGTTGGTGGCAGTGGTGTTGATGGCATGGCGCCAGACTGGAGTTCGTGTTCGTGTTCGTGACGTAATGCACGTACCATCTACATCACGTGCATTGATGAATCCCCACCCCACGATGGGAGGGGGTTGGAAGATACGACCGAACAATATGACTGTAAAAAGACAATTGTTGTGCACAGTAGATAACTCTCGATATCGGTAAGTGGGTTCGGGCATGGAATGACCTTGGAGTTTGGCGTTTTGGTGGTTGGCTGCTGACGGGCTGACCTCTTCTGCGTGCCATCTCGAACAAGCTGACATGCTGAAAAGCCTCCGCGCGGTCGCCGCTGACTCGGGACGACCTCGGCATCTTATATTGGGTTAAGCGTGCTAAATTTTCGCTTACTAGCGTCTTTAGTCGGGCCGCGGTAACGGGTTTAAGCTTAATCTCTCCAATCTAGAAGCCTTACAACTAGATGCGTCTCAGCTTTCGACGAAATCGGAAGGGGCTGAGTACAAGCTTCTGCACGAGTTATTAACTTCTTCCTGCTTAGACGCCTGATCTGCAACGAAGTACCCAGTCACAGGTAAATTCGCGCTGCAACTATAACGTGAGCAGTTAGACAATAACGGCCTCTTCCTTTTCAAAGCTTTGTTTGGCCCACAATGCCTCAACACTTGGCGTTGGCTGGGCTAGCCGGTCTACAACTGCGGATCTTGGGGTAACCTAAAGAGATCTACGTTTCTGCAGCCATTAATACTGACGTTTATTGAATTATCCACGCAGATGGAGACTATATCCGTTTTCAGCTCGGGAAAGGCATTGCCGGTTTGCAGCTACGTGTCCGGCTTGTGGGCCTCGGGATAGCTCCTCCTTACTATGCGGTTTCGACCACAAGGATCTCGCGCCAGCAGTGGACTGTTAGTCTGTTCAAGCTTCAGAACCTGAGTCTTCTATCTGCTGTAGTTAAAGTGCCGCTATTGCTTGAAGATCGCCTTCTTACGCAGCCGCATGCCTACTTTGCAGCTTCTGTAAAGCCTGTCTTCGTAGCGTTAAGTCCACGGATTCCCCGGTAAAAGATTTTTGGGCTGCTCTCGCCCGTACCTTTACTTTCCGTGTGGCTGGCTGAGCACTGAGGGCTGTGCGTTGGTATAGCTCTTAATGGGCTTAAGGCGATCTGCTAGATTAGATCCTTATGCATACCTTTAAGCCCAGTCCTGGTAAAGCGAGTATATATAAGAATACACATGTTGCTAAGCATTGTTTTCTACTAGAACACCTTTTGAGACACTTTTTGTTTGCAATGCTTATTCCCACTACTCTGTCGGTGCTGCTTCTTGGGGCGGGCGCAGTTGCGCAGTTAACTACCAAATTATTCGTAACTTGTGTTACTAAACAAGGTTCCATATCGACTTCGCCGCTTAAGACTGCGTCTGCGGTTATTACTATTCCTTGGTATGCCTTTAGAGTTACTACTATTACTCCGTTAAAGACAATTACTCTGGTAACGTCTACAGCGACAGTCTCTACGACTACGACCCTCCTGTCCACGACGACTCTACAGCAAGAAACAGACACCTTTACGACGATCTTGTCAGTAACATTAAGCGAAACCAACACTGTGACGGCAACTACAACGTCTACATTTACCGATTCTACTACAGTGTTTACTACCGATACTACTACAATCGCTGCACCCTCTGGCTTCGTTGTAATCGAGACTAGCATTCCCGGCTCTTAGAAGCGCCGTGATGTCGATGTCTCGGCTCTAGAGAATGCAATCGTCGAGAGAAAGACTACTTGTACACTGGGTATAAAGAACGGTAAACCTGTCTGCAATCTACCTGTCTATCCTTAATTAGTTAAGTGCGTAGGTGTTGTTGCTGTTATCTCTACTACTATCCGTACAAAGACAGCAAGTAAGACGCAGACTATTACAGCTCCAATACCCGTTTTTACCTTAATAATTATCTCTACTACGAGCTCTACCGTATCTATTACCCCAGTTCGTGCTGTAACGATAACAACTGTAACGACTACAGTCTCTACTATCGCCCAAACGACTACAACCTTGACAGTCTCTATAACGGTAACAGACACTGCCACTGTCGCTGCTCTACAAGCTACGTTCTACGCTGCGTACAGCAATAATAATATTATTACTAGTATTAACGGCTAGGCTATTTATAGTAGTACTTATTAAAATAGATACGACCTAGTATATACTAATAGAGGATTAGCCTATAACTATTGTGTTGTATGCTTAAACAGCGGAAACTGCGGCAGTAGCGCTTTTCTGTCTAGCTAGTGCGTGCTAATAACCTGCACTAACGGCGCGGTTTGTTCGCAGAACAATCTAGCCCTTAATATTAATAAGGGGGGGTCTAACAGCTACGCTATTAGTAACGGCCCTTGCGGGTTCGCTTTATCTTAGATTATTAGTATCTTAGATTATTAGTATGCTTTCCCTTAACACTGTTGCAACGCTAGAACAGTTTCTTTTATTAAGCAATACTTTCTAAATTACTCTGTCTTTTAGAATTTGTTAGTGTTAATAATTTATTTTATGTAATAATTTGAGTTAGGGAAACTATTGTAGGCAGCTAGCGTAATAATATTTAAATTATATTACTTATAATCCTTCTTGATGATTTGTCTACACATCTAAGTTCGTGTACTACAATAAGCAGAGCATGTACTGTCGCGATTCTTCCCTAATACGGACACATTTCCGTTCCAGCGTTTCTTATAAGTTTAGTCTGGTGCATTCTAATTCGAACTCAACTGTGTCCATTTACACGAGCGTGTCGGTGCTAAGCTCAAGCGGGTGTGGGGTAACGCTAGCTACATGCAGGGTCCAATCCATGCTGGTACAGAAAGACGAACTTGGTGCGACTATGCACACCGATGTTAACCACCGTAGTTCTTTTCATGCGGGATCTTAACAGTGTTGATGTCGTATTCAGGATTGTGATACTCTCTTAACTGGCACTATTGAACGAGCTGCGCAGATGGGGCATGCAACGAACTGAGAGATCAGCGGTGCCGGGAGCAGCCGGTCAGCGGCTCGCTTTGCTTGTCAATAGCGTCCTTCGACGTACTTCTAACCAAGTTCATTTTTTCCCTCAGGCCTCGAGGGATATCTTGCTACCTAACCTCTTTGCGACGAGGTATCTTTCACATGCTGGAACCCACGTTGCTACAGTCTGCTCTGCAAAAAAAGACATAAAGCATATGCTATCAAACATCGTCTGCTAATTTACGCCTCCACCTGACTGTCTACTTCGGCGCCTCGCTGCAGCAACAGCGCAACAACACGCCCATGCCCAGCGCACCCAGCCATATGCAAAGCTGTCCACCCGTTCGCCGCTTTGAATCGCACATCCGCACCTGCGTCCAACAGCATCTGCACAACAGCATCATGTCCAGCTGCGGCTGCCAGGTGCAACGGCGTCTGACCGCTGGTATCGACGACGTTGAGGTCGCTAAGAGACCGCGACGGTTCCGTTGTCGCCACGCTAGGGGATTGCCGCTCCTCGTCAGGAAACATCAACGATGACGAGGAGGAAGGGGAGCCTGCCTGCCCGAAACCCAATAGCACGGCAACAGCACCCTCGTGCCCTCCTGCGGCGGCTAGGTGGAGCGGTGTAGCCCCATCCACATTGCGCAACGTTGACACGCCTAGTTTCATTACTTGCGCGCTTGCTTCATTACAGCTGTCGTTGTTGTTGCTTGCTGCGGCGTCGAGCAGGAGGCTGATGGCAGCTGCATTTCCGCGGCCGCTGCAATGTGCGAGGCTGTGGCCCCGCAGACGTCTTGCGCGAAGAGGTCAGCGCGCTGAGCCAACAGCATCGTTACCACCGGCAGTCGGTCTTGCTCCACGGCGAGGTGCAGCGTGGTCCAGCCATCATTGAGTGACTTGGTCACTGCTGCCGTCGCCACGACTGGAAATGACGGAGAATGTGAATACGGCAGTGATGAAAGTGGGTTGAGCGTCGAAGTAGACGACTCCTCAGCGTGGATATCGACGCTGAAGAAAGATATGGCGCTGTCCTCGTTGATGGGCGGGACTTCGAGGAGGGACTTCATGTCAGCGAGTGGGTTGAAGACGGCCATAGGATCGTCGGGCCATGCTACGTTTAGGGTCAAGGTGCAATCGTCGGCAGTTGGGGCATCGAACAATGACGGCGACCGACCCGTTCTGTTGCACTGATCACGCATCTCCTCCAGCTCGGCAATGCGCCTCTCAAGTTTATGTGTTGAGTGTGACCCTGGCATGAGCTGTGGCAAAGAAGGACAGAGGCGCGGCGCTGACGGTTCTGATGAGTGTTCGTGTAACCAACAACCCGACCGCACAACCACAGTGCTCGCGATGTGGCGTACCCTGATGGATAAAGAGCGAGACAATGAATCTCGCTTGCAGCGCCGTGTAAATGCCCAGGTGGAATCCGATACCGCTGTGGTTGTTGCTGTCGGTGGCATCGGCCCACCAGCTGAGCCACAGGTTGAGCACCACTTCGAGCGAGACGAGGAGGAACTCGGCAAGAACAAAAACAACCGTGTTGCGCACGCTTTTAACGCGAAAGTAATGTCGGTAGACTTTGCTGTCGCCCATCTGCCCGTCGAGAACAATAACAATATCGACATCAGTGGCAGTTGCAGGGGCGGATGAACCCGCCCTTGAAGATGGCGGCAGATCAAAGAGGTTGTCGTCGTGATTATCATCGTTCAAGTTGTTTCTCCCTGTGCAGAGGCGCTGCACATCTCCATCGCGCCGTAAGTGCAGCTCCTGAAAACATCCTTGCTCAGTAACGCTACTGTTGCCGTCGAGGACGAGAATTTGGGCCGCATCCTGCAGAAGTTGCACCGATACTACACGTCAGTACTCCAAGCTTTATATGGTTCCAGCATACCTGCCTGAGTGGGTCGCAAGCAGAACAGTCGTCTGGGACTGGCTAAGAGGCCCGTCTTTCCTAAACACAGCGTGGAAGAAATGATTCATGGTCTTGCTGTCTAGACCGTTTAGTACATCACTAAACACTGCCATGTATTCTCTTGCGTAGACTGCTCGTGCGGGTGCCTGCACGACTAGATAAACTCGCTGTCGTTGAGTCCCATCATGGGGTTCTCACCACTCGTTGTCTGTGCCCTACCCACCACAGTCTAGTCCCCCAACGGCAGCCTTTCCAGGTCCTGCTCCAGCGCGCACGCCCTCGCGACTGTAATATCACTCCGCGTCCCACAGATTATAGCCGAGGATGTTGTGCAGCCACGGCGTTTAATCGCAAAACGCGGTGTTACGTAATGCTACCTACACTGCGCTAGGCGTTTTGTGCACTTTGCTCAGTACGCCCTTTGGCAGCGTTAACTTACCGCTAGCGATAGAGCCAACAATAATAGCGAGCGCCTTGGTAGGCACGTTAGCCGTAATGTTTTAGACTACTTCTTCTTGTTTCTTCTCCTAGTTCCTACACTTACTCTGCCGCCTCTATAGGAAACTTGCACTCTGTAAATAAACAGTGTTATAACACTTATTTCCGTGTATATTTAGCTCTAGCAAGGCTGTAAATTAACTAGTAATCCTACTAATTATATAGCTGTTAGTGCAGTAGTCTAACACAAGAAGGAAGGCTAGGATATAGTTAAAATAAGCTAGAATAGTAAAAAGAGCAGGAATAGACTAAGTATATTAGGATTAAAAATATAACAGTTATATTATTTTAAAAGAGGGCTATGCTTAGTAGTTAGAGTAGATATTAATATAGAACTTTAATATTAAAGTTCTATATTAATATTAGTTTATAATTACCTATAAGTTACTATCTCTAACGTTAAAGTTTATAATTACCTATAAGTTACTATCTTTAATATTAAAGTTTATAATTACCTATAAGTTACTATCTTTAATATTAAAGTTTATAATTATCTATAAATTACTATTTCTAATATTAAAGTTTAGAATTACCTATAAGTTACTATCTCTAATATTAAAGTTTATAATTACCTATAAGTTACTATTTCTAACGTTAAAGTTTATAATTTACTATAAATTACTATTTTAAATATAAAGTTATAATTAACTATAAATTATTATTTCTAACGTTAAAGTTTATAATTTACTATATATTACTATTCTAAATACTAAAGTTATAATAAGCTATAAATTACTATTTTAAGCCTTAAATTTAAGATTATCTATAAATTACTATTTTAAAGTTAAAATTACTACAGTACTATTATTTAAAACTACCTTAATAATATAAATACTATAATATTTCTATATAGAAATATCTAACTATACTATAAGCTAGAAGCTTTTACCTAGTAGAAATACTAAGCTTCTTAGATTATAGAATTTAAAAATTTCTTTAAGTAAAAAATCTAAGTTCTCTAAGCTATATAGCTAAAAGATCTATTAAGTAAAGGTACTAAGGTTTTTAGGTTATAGTATTAAAAGATTTCTTTAAAAAGAAGAGTCTAGCTTTTTATATTATAGAGCTTAAACTACTATTAAGAAGTAGTACTAAGCTACTTCTATTATAAAATATTAAGATTTCTTTAAGTAGAAGAGCTAAGCTTTCTAAACTATAGAGCTAAAAGTTCTATTAAGTATAAGTACCTAAGCTTCTTATATTATAGAACTTAAAAATTCTCTTAAGAAGAAAAGCCTTCTTTAAGAAGAAGAGCTAAGCTCTCTAAGCTATATAGCTTAGAGTTCTATTAAGTATAGGTACTAAACTCCTTATATTATAAAACTTAAAGATACCTTTAAGTAGAAGAGTTAAGCTTATTATATCTAGCTATTATAAGTAGACCTTATTATAAAAGTTATTAAGTTAAAGCTATAAGCTATAAATTATAGTATATATTAATAAAGTAGGGTAAGCTATAGTAATAAACTATAAATTACTATAAATAATAGTTTAGTACTAATAAATAGAGTAAAATATATACTATACTTTTAAGAAGATTTTAGAATATAATTTAACTTAACTCTTCTTACTATCTATACTAGCTATAAATAAGCTATAAAGTAATTAATAAATATAAAGAAAGCTATAGTAGCTAGCTATTATACCCCTTTAGGTTATAGACACCTCTAAAATTTAGTAGGATATAGCAAAAATTAAAATATAAATAGGGGTCTAACAGCAACAATATTATAGTTAGAACTTAGATTTATAATACTATACTACTACTATTATATACATTCTACTCTATACTCTCTTTTATAAAAGTTTTAATATAATATCTCTTAATTTTAAAGAGTTATTTAATATTTTATATCTAGAAACAGTTAAATAAAGCTAATCTTAATTAGGAAGTTTTAAGCTAACACTAAATTAGAATAGGAAGTTTTAAGCTAACGCTAAATTAGAATAGGCAGTTTTAAGCTAACACTAAATATAAGTATAAAGCCTTAAAGAAAGAAAGGTAGAAAGTAACACTAGTTATATATTTAGCGTTAGCTAGCAGTAAAAATTAGGTAGCTATATAGAGGCTAATAATACACTTCTTTCTATATAATAAAATATAACTCTTTTATTTTTAAGTATTACTACCTATCTACTAACCCTAACCTACTAGCAGGCTTAGAGGACTAGTAGAAGAACTAGTCTAGAAGTAAAGGTAGTTAATATATAGTTACTAGTAAGTATTTCTAGTAACTATATACTAACTATGCCTACTAGTAGGCTTAGAGGACTAGTAAAAGAACTAGTCTAGAAGTAGAGGTAGTTAATACGTAGTTACTAGTAAGTATTTCTAGTAACTACGTATTAACTACCTTTTTCTACTAGCTTAAGCTAAAGAAAAAGAGGTAGAAAGTAACACTAGTTATATATTTAGCGTTAGCTAGCAGTAAAAATTAGGTATCTATATAAAGGCTAATAATACGCTTCTTTCTATATAATAAAA